TTTGAATATTATTTTTATGGCGGTGACGTTGTCGGGGTCAACGTCATCTTTGACATTGAAGAGGACGATGTGCTCGATATTTTGAGGGGTTGAAGAAGAAGATATTGCGAGAGTGAATGTTGGTAGGGGAGGCGAAGAAGGGGTGAGGAGTGTTCGATTGCCGAGAAAGTAAGGATACAATTTATAGGGGATACGACAATGTATACGAAATGAAAGACCATCATAATTGAATTATAAGTCTCAATATATTATAGTTATGATTTTAAGAATACAAGATAAACGAATTACAGTTCAATTCTACATATAATTTATTAGAAATAAACAATGGAGATATATATAGAAAACTAAAAAAATAGGAAAATATATTTTTTATAGTGATTTCAAGATTTTACCAAACAATAATATCAAACAAACAATGTTTCAAGATGTTACTAATATCATTTTTAATAGAAAAAATGACATTTTCCTATACGGATTTTGTAAAATGTGGCATTTTCCTATACGAGCTTTTTAATTTGACAAAAACCTACACCAAATTACTAAATGTGCCAAATCGATACACGAACTATCCAATTTAACTGCAATTTTCTACATAAGAAAACGGTGTTAAGTGTTCGTTAACAACTGATGTGGCACGACACGTGGCGGTTGACGTGGTACGTCAGATGGAAAATTTTACCACGTCAGCATGCCACGTCAGATTTCAAAAAAAAAAAATCTGAAAAAATCGAAAAAAAACAAATTTAAAAAATTTGAAAAATTTTTAAAAAAAAACAAAACAAAAAAATACATATATATAAATACATTTTCATATCTATATACAAATATAAATGTATATACTCCAATATAAAAATATATCTATATATATATAAAATAAAAAAATATACACATATATATATACAAACATCTATACAAATATATATACATATACATACAAACAAATATATTTATATATATATACACATACGCATATATAAATACATATACACATATATATATATATATATACATATATATGCATACATACAAAATAAAAAAATACATTCCGATGAATTTGACCTTGGACCATGAAATTGGTCTCTTGATAAAAAGCGTGCAGAAGAATCCAGAAATACAAATACATTAGCCACTTTGTGTGTACACTCAATGTGATATTCATTAGCCACTAATAAACAATTTATTATTCTTTGTCTAAATAATAAATGTTATGGTTATTTTTATTTTTATGTTATGGTGCACTCAAACGACATGATTTCTTAATAACATATTAATAAATGGCTACTGTTGCTTCGATGCTCGACAGCCCGAAAGGGGAGAGGAATCTCAAATGTTCGGAGGATGGAGGAGGGTATAGTACTCATAGCGTGATGAATATCGCAAGCACAGTGGTTCTAAATGTGTGGGAGTTCAATCTAAAACCGCCATTGATGTAAGTTAACCAAGATTTCTTACATGAACCCCAAGATTGGATTTTTTTTTATATATAAACGGAGGTTTCATATGTTCGTGTATTCTCCGTTTGAGGATTTATTTAGTGATAGCTTGGTAGCTTGTAATGTGGATATGAGATCCTAATCGTTGTACCACCAATTTTGATTAATACTACCAACTTTCATTAAAAAAAAAGATTGGATTTGATGAATTCTTACATAAACAGAGGTTTTATCGGAATATCAAACTCACCTTTAGTTAATGTGAAGTTATTTTTTTAAGGTATTGTTCAACGACCAGAAATAGAATTTTTATATAAGGCGACTATACCGTCCTTACAAGTGAGATTTTCGGTTTTTTATTTTGTCTATTTCAGGAAGCCCTAGCCGAAGAACAAGATGAGACAGTGTTCGAGGTTGCTGAGGAAATTCCATCTCTTCATCATTCTTAATTTATGTTTGCGATTTTTTGTATTCCATTTCTGTAATTTTTTTTACAGAGTAATATAAGCAAACCTTCTCCTCATTTCTCACCCTCATTTTTCTTTGCTTGGTAATTCTATTGGGTTTTGTTGTTATATCAAACAGTTTGGGGATGAAAAACGAGATTAAAACGAAACTACGGTTTTCAGGTAATTTTATCATTCCTTGATTATATAATCAACTGGCGGTTCTATAATATTAGTGCATAAATAACCGATATAAATTCTTATTTGTTCGTTCATTTAGAATCTGCGAATCGCACGGGAGGGTATCCATAAGAAATTTGGTTGTCTCTTGAGTTTTCTCTCATGGAACAGGGAGAAAAAATTTACAGGATTTTCTCGGGAAAGTAAGATGAGTAAAGAAGCACACTGTATCTTCGATGGTTTGGTTCGAGTGATTCAGTTTGTGGACCTTGAGATCAAATCAGTGTTAGATGTGTGATTCAAAAGCGGTTTCAATCGGTTATTTAGAAGTTTTTAATTCTGCAGTTAAGGTTGAGAAGTTTCTACCGGTTACTAAATTATCTCTATAAATATGTGTAGTAGTGGGTTGAATATTTTATTGCAAATAAGTTTTTTCTGCAGTCGTATGTGTATATAGCGTATGTAAGTTATGAGTGACTGAATACATGTTTATGTTTCAGATTTGTTTTATGTCTATGCTGTGTTTTGTGAGTATTTGGTTTATAAAAATTAACAATTAGAACCTAACAGAAGTTTCAGGTTATCCATGAGTCTTCAGAGGAGCCACGATTTACCTTTTCCACCCATAAACCCTAACCAAAATTTCATCATTTTTCTTTTCTCTGAATTTAATTGGTATATATTTAAACATTTAAGTCTCTCTCTACTTGGTTGTTTCCAATCAATTTTAAATTATAGTCCACATAATCTTTTGCCTTGCTATTTCACTGCTTTGTCTTCTGCTCGGTTTGTCTACTATGACAAATATTTTTCCGGTGTAATGCTGAAGCATCATTATGTTTAACTCATTTCAGAGATCCTCCCTCGTGCATGTGCTAACAATGAGTCGCATGCTTTTTTTTTCAGGTGGATGTTTTTGGAAAGGTTCCTTCTCTTCAGAAAACGCTAAGGAATTGGTTACAAACATGTTGAATAAAGACCCTAGAACCTAGAACCGAATCACTGCATGATAAGTTCTTCGTTAGACCGATTTTTCCGTTTCCAGTTTTTGATACCAGTTATTCTTTAAACCGGAATGGTAACATATTGTTCAGTTCAGAACATCCATGGATAAGAGAAGTAAGAGATGCATCTAAGCCTATCAATAATGTTCTTTGTTGCGAATGAAGCAACTCAGAGCTATGAACAAGATCAAGAAGTTTGTATTGAGAGTGAGTCAATGTGTATATATATTTTATGTGTGTATATATTTTATGTGTGTGTGATTTAGCATGTGATTAATTAAAGTGAGTTTGGTTCGGATTATTAGTATTGTTTGGTTTGGGGACAAATTAAAAAAGATGTCTATCTCATTTACACGGGAAAACCTTATACTTAAAATTAATTTTACAAAACTATCAACTATTAATTTTGAATTATATATAAAAAAACTATTAATTTTGAATTAAAAAGATCATCAACTATTTAAATTGATTAAAACCAATCTTTCATTTTAAATTGATTAAAACCAAACAAAAACAAAACATACTAGATTTATCAAATTATAAAATAAAATTTAAAACAATAGATACTTTGATTTTAGAACTGATATATTTTTTAATTGTAAATATTATTGGATTTTTGGTCGCAATAGAACAATCAGATTTATGAGTTAAATTGTAAACTCAAAAAATGTTCTCCATATATTATTAAAAGAGTAAGTTTACAACGTTTTAATTAAGTTGTAAACTATATACTTTTAAACAAATTTATATCTCATTTCGCTTGTAACAAACTAATATAAAATTTTTAATTAAAACAACAACAACAATATTATTATATTAAATTAACTAAAAATTGTTCTTACGTTAAACACATCATCATCGAAAAAAAGTTTATATAAATACACAACTCAACATCATAAAAAAATCCATGACAAATATATAAATTTAACCATTATCAAAATAACTCATATATTATTTTATTAATAATTTTTAACTAAATGTTTTTAGAGATCGGAAAAAAAGAACGAGATTTAAGACGCTCATAACAAATTATTAACATCAAACCTATACAAAATTAGACAACGACACTCATATTTTCAAACTTTATTTTTTTAATTCTTTATATAAATAATATAATGATGATTTACAATAATTAAATTGTATAGATATATTTTTTAAATATATCTAACAAATAATCTATATCAGTTTTCATTATATTAATATTAACAAATTATACCGTTAGAAAAAGAATAACCCGTGCATCTAGTAATTAATAAAATAAGTTGGTCGTGCAGAGCACTTCCTGATGTGCAAGAGAACCTATATTTTTTTGGGTTTTTTTATTTTGACTCACGATGCAAAGTTGGTCAAAACTTGTCATTTAAAAATAAATAAATACTTTTATTAACATTGGGTCAATGAAAAAAATTAACATTCATTCATCCATAATGTTTTTGGTCGGAAGTATCCTTAAATATATAATAATATAAAAAAAATTATGAGGACGGGCGACTCTGTAAAAATATATAATCATATATTATATTCTTAATAGTTTTTGGGTTAGTTTTGATTTTAATTTAGTTCCATTGATACATTATTTATATCGTTTTGGATTCCTTTTGAATTTGATAAATTCGACTTAAATTATATTCAACTATTTAATAAATTAAATATGAATATACTTATATATTATTATTATTTAGTTTAATTAAATTCTATTTTTACACGTCTATCTATCCTTATCCATAATCAACATCTGCAAAAAAAATTAACATATAGATTTTATAAAGTTTCTTAAGATATAATAGTGGTAAAAAAAATTACATGGCAAATGAAGGGGTCACATGAAAAAAAAATGAGATTTTTTTCCCTCCAAAGAAAAGTGGATGACGTGGACAACTGTAAGATAAAAACAATCCTCCTCTCTTTCCGCCCAAAATTTTCGCTTCACCTCTTCTCTTTCTTCATTTTTGAACAAACATTCCCATGTTCTTCTCTCGTTCCCAGAAATTATCCTCCATTCTTCGTTCCCGAATTTTCTCCATCTGAAGACTCTCTCTCTCTCTCTCTCTGAGGTTTGTTCGTTCGTTCGTTTTCGAATCCAAGCGATCTCGTTCGTTCCGGTTTCTTCCATCTCGGTCGCTGTACTTCTTCCTCGCCGGGTTTTTCTAATCTGACCGGAGTTTGTTTTTTCCGGTGTCTGTGACGTAAGTTTTCCGGAGGTGATGACGTGAATCGGCGGTGTATCGCATTGTGGCTCACAATAACATGGAATCTTCGAATCCTCAGGCGGTACAACAGCAGCAGCATCAACATGTCCGTGCCAATCTACCGCTTGCATTTTGTTTTTTTTTCCCATGTCAAATCTCAAATCGTATCAGATTTTTTCTTTGTTTTTAATCTTTCGCATTCTGATCCTCTGATGTTGACGGGGTTTGGGATGGAATTTTCCCCGTGGATGAAAATTGGGTCCTTTTTCTTCATTTTTTTCCTCGTTGCAGGGTGAAGCCTGGGAACTTCCTCCTTCGCAGTCCGGAATTGCCGATGCGCGTAACCGTGGCGCCGGGAACACGGTAATTTTTTTCTCTCTCTTTGTGGCGAAACGAATCATTGAAGAGAGATTTAGCTGAATGTCATTCATGATCGAAGCCAATGATGCTGTAAGAACATTAAGTAGGTGAACGCTTCTTCACAATCTCGCTATCACCTTCAAACGTTGGAGAAATTGGCTAAATTTTACGGGTTTGAATCTACCTTTGCCCCATTCTCTCAGTAAGCCATCGCGCTTATTGGTACCCATAATCATGAGGACTACATTTGTATTTTGGTGAAGAAGCTACATGGAAATGGCGATGATCAATTTATTTGGATGTCTTTCAATAGAATATGATTTTCTGTAGGATCATTATCGCATCACCAACTGGTGTCCTTGATGGGTTCGCCTAAGATGCTTACGACTCTGAATGGTTTTGTTTACGTAAACTGCAAATGTCTTGCAGGTTTTCAAGAGTGGACCATTATTTATATCATCAAAAGGTATGGTTTTCTACGGAATTCTTTGTCCATTTACAGATCTTATAATGCTCTTCTTAAACCGTAGAAACCAATTGTGTGATGGGAGTTGCTGCTAGGGCTGACTTCCATTCTGTTTTGGAAAAGAATGGATTTTTATCTGAAACCGGTGATATCTGTTACTCTATGGCGAGCTAATCTGTATTCAAATAGGTCTTTCAGGCTGCTTACTGCTGATGTGTTTGGCTATAACTCATGTTTCATGTGCTATGTTTGCATTTCTAAACAGGTGTTCACAGCCTTCTATTTTCATTTCTATTGTAGGGATTGGATGGACGTCGTGGAAGAAAAGATGGTTCATTTTGACGCGTACTTCACTGGTTTTCTTTCGGAGTGATCCAGTAAGCATTCTTATTCAGAAGACTGGTGCTCTGAAATGTTTCCTTGTTTGTCTTCTAGAACATTATTGATCCTCTATAATTATTGTTATTGTCAAACTCCAAATAGGTGAACTAATTCTTTCATCTGAGTATTGTAATGTCAGCCAACATCTGATAATTTTGATAGTATCATGCCCAGGAGCATCCAGATAGGGTTAAAAGGTACAAGGGACAGAAATATTTACTGGAGAGAAAAAAAATGTAAATAACATACAGGAGAGTAAATGATGTAAACAGAACTATCAGATCATCTGGTTTCGGGGCTGCATTTCTATTATCTATATGTGAGAACTACCAAATATGTATTATATATATAAATAGATGATATTGTTCTGTGACTGAGAAGAAATTCTATTGAACTTATAAATTCTTTTGGATTACTTTTAATTATCATAGAGAATGGATGACTCACATTCTTCAATTTAATTTTCAGAGTGCAGTTCCACAGAAGGGAAGTGAGGTCAATTTAACCCTTGGTGGAATTGACCTCAACAATTCAGGCAGGTTGGCTTATTGCTTGGATCATAAATTTTTGTTGCGATAATGTCTTTGAGGGATGTTTCATGATAAAATCTTGGTCCTTTTGCTAACATCAGTATATTCTTTGGACAATTTCTAGTGTGGTTGTTAAGGCAGATAAAAAGCTGTTGACTGTTCTCTTTCCTGATGGCCGTGATGGACGCGCCTTTACACTCAAGGTTTGTGACAAAAGGTTCTGCTTTAGTTCCATGTTGTATGTCATATCTATATTGCTATTATCAGATGCATCCGTTTAATCTTGTTGCCTTTTAGTTTTTGACATTCTATTCTTTCATGCTCTTTCTCAGTCATTCCCCAACTTTTTCTTTGTACTGGTGAAATTGTTCATAGTAAGAGATGGAAAAATAGTGTGTCAGTAAGATTTGATCTATTTATGGTCTGATCTCATTTTTCAGGTTTGTTATAGAGTGCCTCAGTCTTTGATATGGGACTTTGCAATTAGTAATAAACTTCAAAATACAATAAACTCTTGGCCATGCATAGCAAGTTGTAGATTGCGGTGTATCTTTTTCTATTTGGTGCTTTTGGCCTAGGTACCTCTAGTCTAGTAACAATATAATTTTGCTCTGGATTATGCCTTTGACGTAATTTTCACTTCATTCACTGTAAGAAAGTCGATAACTGATAATGGACTTTCACATGATATTTGGAAATGTTATGCAGGCTGAAACTAATGAGGATTTATATGAGTGGAAAACTGCTCTGGAAAATGCTTTGGCTCAAGCACCTAGTGCTTCCCATGTGATGAGTCAAAATGGTATTTTGAGGAATGAGCATGGCGATGCCACCACGAATGGTTCTGATGAAAGCAGTATGTTTATCATCTCTTCATCACTTTTTTCCTTTAATACATCATTCCATTTGTAGCTGCAAGATCCACTATAACTGTGTTTTCTTCCGCTCTGGAAAAATAGATGGAACTGTTAATGATGGCCCTCGGTTGCATCTTAGTTTTGTTGTCAATTTGTCAAGAAAATGATTGATGTTTCAATTTATCTACAGCAAATGATCAGACACCTGCAAAATCAACAGTCCTTGGCAGACCGATATTACATGCTCTAGAAGATGTTGATGGTTCTCCATCTTTCTTGGAGAAGGCCCTTAGGTTTGTTGAAGATCATGGTGCGTTTTCCTTTGCCGTCTTCTGATTCTTATGTGATTGCTTGGATGTTAATCAACAAATAGGAGTTTCTGTATTTGATGATATCCTTCAATCTGTCGATAGACTTGGCAACAATACTATGCTCATTAATGCAGGCGTTGGGTTCTAGGCTTCTTGGGCAATTAGTGAAAGAGTGACGTATGGTTAGATTTGGCCAATGAAACTTATATATCGCCTATTTTTATTAAGATAAGAATGTGGAAATCTTGACCCCAGTGTGTTTCCCAATATATATCAATACACAATTCTGAATTATCGTACAAAATTTATTGAAGGAAAAAGTATATTTCTAATATCAAAAGCTGCGTATCCAATTCCTGATAAAACGTTTTTCTTGTGTAAGTGCCTTGGCCTTTCCATTTGCATATGTTCTTCCTCTCAGTGAAACTTATATTCTTATCCGTGAAGGCTCACTTCTACATAGTATGCCGCATCATTGTCACGTGTTTTCCAGATTTTCTGCATCTCTTTGTGTCTTAATAGTAAACTCTGAGTTGGCAGCTTAATTTACTGCCTCATTTCGTTCATGTAAATTTGAAAAGGAAAATACTTATTGCAGGTGTCAAGGTAGAAGGTATCTTGAGACAAGCTGCTGATGTCGATGATGTTGAACACCGAATTCGCGAATATGAGCAAGGTTTGAGCTTCACTTGTATATGCGTATATGCATAATTGCGAGTATTAATTATCCCTTTGCTTGGCCCTCTATAAAAAATGGTAATACGTACAGTTACTTGGTTCAGGAAAAAATGTTTTCTTACCAGGGGAAGATGCTCATGTAATTGCTGATTGTGTTAAGGTACATGCTACTTGTCACTGCTACGCTGATTTAATTCCTTCACTTTGAAACTATCTAACTTTAGCGATATGCCTCTCCAGTATTTTCTCAGAGAGTTGCCTTCCTCACCGGTGCCTGCATCTTGTTGCAATGCCCTTCTGGAAGCTTGCCGTAAGTCTATGATTTTCATCTGGTGTGTTTTTACTAAGGTCCTTTAGTACTCCACAAAACCAGGATACATTATTTTGTAACATAAGCACTCTCTCTGCAGATTTACATCGCTTATTTCAATCGTCTTATTTTCTCCATTAAAGAACAATCACATTTCCTTAAGTGGAAAATGGCACAAAGACACATATATTGCCATGCAGAACTCAGGACCTCTCTATGTTCATATAAGAATTCTAGTTAGGATTACCTTTTCTTTGTTCTGCTCGAGATGAAATAATATTCCATTGTAGTCTTGAACTTGGTTCATTATGAGCAGTCTTGGGAATGGAATCTAGCGAGTTCCTGCAAGGAGACATTGCATTTGCTAAGTCGGATGAAGTCTATACTGGTTTCGTTTTGTTTAAGAATGATTACTGTTAAAGAAGCCGGTGATGAGATGAACTGCAGCTATAAACAAATCTTCTTTCCCTTGAGTCAGTTTTTATCTGGTCATTTTACTTTTACAAGATCTGGTTTTAACACATGCATATATATGTCTAAAAGGGGTCATTGACCTCGTCTTTTTGTAACTTATCATTTCACCATTTTTCTGGTGCTTGATGCAAATTGTATGATGATCAGGTACTGATCGTAGCAATAGAGTCAATGCTATGAGTGCAGCTATTTGTGAAACCTTCCCTGAACCAAATCGTCGCCTATTGCAGAGGTAATCTCTTTATTCTATTATATTTTTCCATTAGGTTTTCTCCCTAAATCTGTGGATGTCGACGTTAATTTCCCATTTCCCTCTTCTTACCTTTCCTTGTGTATTTTTGGGACCGAATTTGATAGCTTCTGGAAATTGAGACGAACTGACATATTCTCAGATCTAGCATAATCAATACCAGTAACCAATCATTTACGTTTTCTTCCTTTTGTTTTGTGGCTTGCTTTCCATGAAAACGTGACAGTTCCTTGAAAAATATAACTCATTTATGGTGGTGATTGGTATTCATTTTTAAAGCTGTAATAAGCTTTTACAGTCATTACAGTCATCTTCCTAATCAATCAGGCTGTGATGACTGTATTTTGTTTGTTTGTTCATGTCTACCCTTTTTATTTGAAGTCAGGAAAACTTTCGGAGTTTAGTGACTTCAACAAATTTAAAGTTATAGCCAACCGAACTATAGACAAAAACGTTTAAGTTAAAGTTGCAGTTAATCACCATCTAAGATTATGATCTTCATATTGAACCACAAGTTACTGAAATTCATTAGTTTCACTGGTGCTTTCCACCTATTGAATTGTTCTAGCATACATAGGTATTTCAACTAATTTTTAATTAACTCCATCTTCCCTTGTTTTCCCGTTGCAAGAATTTTGATGATGATGCAGACTGTGGCTTCTCATAAAAATGTAAACCGGATGAGCACTGCAGCTGTTGCAGCTTGTATGGCACCCTTACTTCTGCGACCCCTTCTTGCTGGGGACTGTGAGATCGAAAATGATTTTGATGTTGGTGGTGACGGTTCTATGCAACTTCTGCAAGCAGCTGCTGCAGCCAATCATGCTCAAGCGATAGTTATAACTTTACTAGAAGAATATGACAGCATTTTCGGAGTAAGTTTTTACTTCTCTTCTATGATTAAGGGCTTCCTAAGTAGCTTGTTTTTCTCTGCTAATCTTTTGAGACTGTTAGTTAACTCAGACATATTGTGCCTATCTTTGTTAGTTTTGACTCTCCCAAGATAATCATAATCAATGAAAACCGACAACACTTTTTACCCTCTCATTAACACTGTAACATCATGGAAACCTTTCAGGAGATGTAAAATGTGCTTCGTTGCTGTGTTTTTAGTGTAAACTAATGGTGAGCTTATGCCCAGAGACTGATTCCAGCTAATGTGAATGTTCAATGTCTGCAGGAAGGTTCTTTGTCAGCTGACTTGTACTCTGACTCAGAAGTTAGTGGAAGTGAGACTGAGGGGGAAACAGATGACGAAGAGTATGAAGATGATGACGCATCACAGGGGTCTTACTACTCAGATGAAGATGATGATGATGATGAAGATGGTGATGATGAAGACGAAGATAATGACGATGACGATGATAATGCATCTAATGGATCACATGGTGAGAGTGCCACCTCAGCCGACAAAGATGTGGATGACAGAGATCCAAAGGACCATAAGGCATGCTTCCATCCTGGCTTGAACGGTTTTTTTCTGTTTCAAAATAGTTTTAATCTTATTCATTCCGAGGAGAATGATACGTATCGAATCAATCAAGTTACTCCAAGTCATACCATCATAGTATAGATTCTATAACTGCACCTAAGCCTTGAGTTTCTTAATGTTATGTTTTCTAAGTCGACAATGATTTTTGAAACGATACAGATATCTGAAGACTTAAGCTCAGAACCCGAAACCCCCAAAGAAAGTAGCAAGCCGAAAGTTACTAAGAAGCTTTTATCTGGTGGTAGAAGATATTCACAATCCCAGGGTAAGGATGGAAAAAAGAATGAGAATATCTTGGTTGAAAGTGGCGATACTTCAGGAAAGAAGTATGCTGAAGAAGTCTCAACAAATCTCGATAAGAACTCAGCAACTTCAGGTTCCGTAGCAAACGTGCAGAAACAGACTACTTTATCTAATGCACCAGGAGGCAGCAGAAGGCTCTGGGGACGTACACCTGTGAGTAATCTGTTTTGCGTCGATATGCTATGCGGAAGCTTTTCTTCAAGTGCTTGCTAGCGTTTTTTTCCTCCCTTTATTAGTTTCCTGTGACCTAGTCCTATTACTTCTCTTTTCCTAGTTCTTTGTAAAGGAGTCATAGATTCTTGCTTAGTATCGACATAGACACTCTTCTTGTCATATGCATAAATCCCATGGGAGTCTAGTAACATGTCTTCTTTTATGTGCCCAGGCCAAGAAAAACCTTTCAATGGAATCTATTGATTTCTCCGTCGAAGAGGATGACGAGTAAGTGTCGTCTATCATCCCTATGAAAGATTCACATCTATACAGCTGCCATTTTTCGGTCACGACACATGCAATCTTTAGGAAAATTTCTGATCTAAAATGAAATTTTTTCAAAGCTGCTAAAGTGTTTGGACTGGAAAATATACGATTTATGTACATCGTTATATCATGCGAGGTCTTTATCTGGCTATGTTTTGCATTCTGCAGTGCTGAAATCGAGAGACTTGAGTCCACCAAATTGGAGCTACAAAACAAAATTTCAGAAGAGGTAGCAATAAGCTCGCTAAGGATCGGAGTGGTATATTTTAGAATACACGGGTAATATTTCACGAGTGTGTGACCTGTTACGACCTTGTCCTGTGTTAGAGCAGGTTAAAAGCAACACTGTTCTACAGGCTAGTTTGGAACGCCGAAAGAAAGCCCTGTATGAGCGTCGCCTAGCTCTAGAAAAAGATGTATGTGTAACTTCAAATCTTGTCTCTTCCTTTCGGGGTTTGAGTTTTTATAAAACTCGACTTCTTTGTTCATATGAATGTTCACGGATTTACGGTAATAAGGATGTTGGTTACCATGCTGTAAGGTGGCAAGACTGCAAGAGAAATTGCAACAAGAGAGAGACAAGAAGACAGCTCTAGAAGCAGGACTTGACATGTCGAAAGGAAACCAACGTATTCCCGACACTATCGACGAAAAGGTTCGGTTGGCTTTGTCCCCACGAAAAGGCTTTTAAATCTAATCTTTTTTCTTTTAGTGAAGAGTGTATATCTAATTTGATGCGTCGTTACAGTTGAGGAAAGATTTGGAAGATGTAGCTCAGGCAGAGACTGATAACGCCAAGTTGGAACAGCAGGTCGACAATCTCCAAACTAAACTCGGTCACAACGAGGGGAGAAGCTCGAGTTATAGGTACAGTGCAAAAATGTAAGGATTCATCAACAGACTTACAAACGAATGTCATGCTTTACGACCATGTAAAAACCAAACATTTTATGCAGTAAGGACAAACAAAAGGACACCGAACCGAGCACTTCTCATGATTTAGATAAGTCAGCTCCAGAGGTAACCTGTCGCTACATCTATATAACCAGAAACACGAATCCAGTATATTATATATATATATATATATATATATATATATAGTAAAAATGATTTTGCGAGTATGATTACGTTTCACAGGGTGCTCATGTTGGCGGAAGAGAAAGCGACATAGAGATATCGCAACAGGATCCAGCGTCTTTACAAAGCAGATCTTCGCAGCCAAACCATCAGCAAGAAACATCACGTAGCAGCAGCTCGAAACTGGCTGGCATGTATAAGAAATCCGGCACAAGGGCAGACGTAAGTAAGCTTTTTGTTAATCCTCTCATCTCCGTCACCCTCAAAAACGTTTTCAATTCAACCGGGATAGGTTTCTACGATTTTGACAAAAACAGGGGTCCACAACTTCAGCGCTTTCCAAGTTGACGACAAGACTAAACTTCCTCAAGGAAAGACGGAGTCAGATAGCGAACGAGCTCCAAAACATGGATAAAGGCAGAGGAAGAAGCGGATCCCCGAGCCAAAACTCGGAGAAAGGAGCATCAGATACTCCAAAGTCATCCAAGGAGAAGGATTTAGAGGGAAGCCCTCATGTTCTCGACAGAGGAAGATCCGAAAACAGCATGTCATACCCTACTGGAGACAGAGGCAGAGGATCTGGAACTGGAAACAGCAGCAATAATCCCAACACTAGCTCGAGAACTTTCTCGAGATAATATTATCCGATTCCATTTCTTCGTCTCAAGGCTTCGAAAGTGAAGGAGTATCATATCGAAAACACAAATGCCTGCCCAGTTTGTACAGACGCCAATAACTCAGAAGGTAACTTACTTGGTGGCTTCTTCTTCTTCTTCTTCTTAGATTCATTCACTTGATACAGTGTTTTCAAAGCCACAATTCTGTCTTTGATTTTGTCATATTCTTTTGCCTCTGTCTTTTTGTCCCCTTTAGAGACAGAACTTGCCTTTTGAAGGTGTGTTATTGTTTTGGTAGATTTCATGTTAGTGCAGCAGAATTTATTGCAGCGTGTATTCAATTGAACTATCAAGTGCTTGAATTATTGCAAAGTGGCTGTCAGCAATATTCTTCTTTATACCAATAATTATTTAATATATAGATGAAAGAAAAAAATTTCCAAATTTTGGATGCCCAAAAAATTATTGAGAGGGATTAGGAAAATTGCTGATTAGTAAAAGTGCACTCACTTTGGTTCGGATTTCTCTTAGGTTTTAAAAAATATTTATTTTTAAAACAAAATAAATTTAACAAAAAAAGTATCTTTCATTTTAGTCACTAAAATTGGTAAAAAAAAAAATCGAACAATGAATCAAAATAATAAAAAAAATTCCTCGTCGTCGTCATCATCACAAAAAATCCTCAAAAATCCTTGAGCAGCTTCTTCACCTGCTCGAGCGTCACGAACAATACCACAGTGAAAGGTCCTTGCCTCGAAACCGTAGGAACAAACCCTTTGTACAGTGCCATCACTCCCTCCGCCCTCACCGTCTTCACCGCGCAATCCCACGCGCCGCCGTACGCTCCCGCCGCCGAGTTCATCACCCTCGTCTTCACCACATCCACCGGATTCGATGCCACCGCCGCTACGAACCCCGCCGCGAAACTCGCCGCCACGTGCGTCCCCAAGCCGTCACCCATCAAACCCTTCTCGAGGATCGCCTCCTTGATCTGATCGTACGACGCCAATTGCGCCGCCGTCACGATCATCGCTCTGTTCACCGTCAACGCTGAGCCCCTCCACAGGCTCCGCACGCCTTCCTGCTTCGTCATCCGTACAATCGCGTCACCGACACCGGCGTAGTTCCGGCGCTGCGGGGCCGGAAGCCTTCCGTCGGCTTGCATCCGCACCATTGCTACGTCGGCCGGGTTTCCAACAATGGCTCCGACCCCTCCGGCAATCAACCCAGCGACGATTTTCCGGGTCAGGGTCAGGTTACCAGATCCTGGTTCGGCCCATTTGGTCTTAATCACATCGTACAGACCCATCCGGGTCGTGGAATAGAGGGTTTGCCGGAGAAGAGTTGCAGAGACGCCGGAGAATAGCGCCACCGCGCCTTCCGACTGAACGATACGAACGCCGAGGGAAATAGGACCGACACGAGGAGGCGAAGTGACCGGAAAACCAGGCGCGGGCGAGTTGAAAGAGAGAGCAGGACGGAGATTGGGGACGGCGGAGGAGGATTCGCCATGGAGCTGGAGACGGACCTTGATGAGATCAAGAGGGTGAGTGGAGCAACCGGCGACGATGGAGGCGATACCACCTTCGATGAATCCTTTGGCACCCATCCCCAACTTTCTTTTGTCTGCACTCAAGGGTTTTGCTGGATCGAATCCAACGAGTGATTCGATCGAGGGAAGAGTAGTGAGTGAAGCGAAGATCTGCGAGAGAGTATATGTAGTGTTTGGGGCATGTGGGTGGGGAGAGCGTACGAGGAAGAACGCGGTTTTTGGGGCGACGTTGTTGACGACGACGACGAGTGAAAATTAATCTCACGCTTTTGATTTGTTAACCCTAATTTTCAATATTCTCGAGCCTTTGTAAAAGTCCAATATTCACTTCCAATGGGCTTTCTGTGTTTGGGCTCAGCCCAAAACTTATTTGGATTTTATTATCACGTTAAAAAAATACATTTCCAATATAATAAAGAAAAAATTCAACTTATTAACATATATATATATATATATATAAAATAAAACCTTCGACTTACAAAATTATCTACAAATACATAGATTTACAATACTATTATGAATAAAATCTTCAACTTGTTAATTGTTTCTCAAATAAACCTTTGAACAGTTTGATCAGGTTTTCAGACAAACGAAAATCTACGAATATTGATATACATATAAATAATTTTATATTAAAATATAACACGTTAGTAATTTTTTTAAAATTTGTGGAAACAAGTTTGAGAAAATAGCAAACCCGGATTTTAGGTTTAAAAACAAACCGGATGGGATCGAAAAATAGAGATTTAAAAGAGGAAAAATAAAAAAAAACATAATTTTATCTCCTTTTATCACGGAACCCTAATCTCCTCTGTGCTCCGCTCTCCGTGCTCGAGTTCGTAATCTCCTCCGTGTTGGAGTTCGAAAAATCATCGGTGATGGGGTTGACTCAAAATTGGAATTTCAATGATTAAGAGAATGCGACTAATGATAATATGTTACCTGATACACCTGTTAACATGAAGAGCGGGAAATTCCGCTGGTGGGGATGAATATAATTTCTGGATCAAAATAGTCCATATACAAAGACTGATCCCGGGTCTAGGGTGGATGTAGTCGGACCAAAGGTTAAAAAACATGAAGAGCGGGAATCTTTTGAGAAAAGAAATTCATGAATGTGAAAGACAACGCCAACAGAACCTCAAAAATCCAATAAGAGGAGATTACGAACTCAAGTACGAAGACAGCGCAGAGGAGATTAGGGTTCCAAAAAATATGTTGACGTGCATGAGATGACGTCAGTATTCCATGAACGCGTGAATTTATGTTTACTTTGAAAATTCGATTCAAAAGTTTATTTGAGAAGCTGAAGGTTTTATTCGTAATGGTGTTGCAATTCTATGTATTTGTAGACAACTTTGCGAGTCCAAAGTTTTATTGTATATATTTTAGTAAATTCAATGTTTTTTTAAGAATTATTTTCTATAATAAATCAATCAAAATAAAATGTTGTATTTTGAAATTTTATACTCAGTTAAACTGTTAATGTAAAGATGAAAATTGTTTCACGTCGCCATGTGACCATAAATTAAAAAACAATTATAAGAAATACATTTTTTTAATAACGAAATTCACTAAAAAAATTTAAATGATTATATCTCTCAAAAAATTGAGAAAACCTACGTGAATGTCTATTCGTCAAATGAGAATTCGAACCCAGATTAGAAAAGATATTTAATTAGTCTCTTCCTTATCTTATCCGTTGAGTCATCCAATCTTGGATAGTTTATATTTATATACACATACAAAATACACACGAATATATATATATATATATATATGCATATTATGTATACATATATACGCAGAGCCGTCTTAACGGATGTGCAACTGGAGTAATTGCACAGGCCTCATTTTTAAGAAGACCCCATATTTATTTATTTTTAAAAATTGTATATTTATTATTTTATTTTATTTCATATAATTTATTTATTATTAAAAAAATTAAAATACAATTAGAGAATAGTTATAGTGATTAACATTATTACCATTTTAATATTTTAAATTTTTATATTTTAAAAATAAAATTAAAAACTTTTATCATAATCTTTTTAATTTGATTTTTTAAAACCGTTTTCTCTTTATATATAATTTGAAATTTGATGTCCTAAATTAAATTCATAAATTTATAGATTTGTTAGTTACTTTTTATTTTAGTTATTTATACTTACATTAAAAAATTAAAAAATTTATAATTTATAGTTTAACGTCGTAAATTATATCGTACAGGACTCCGAAATTGTTTGAAACGACCCTGAGGTGGATATTTCGATTTGGTATTTTTTCTGAATTGTACCTTTTAAAATTTTCAAACAGTATAAGTTATTTATACTTAAATTAAAAAATTAAAAAATTTATAATTTATAGTTTAACGTCGTAAATTATATCGTACAGGGTCCCGGAATTGTTTGAGACAGCCCTGTATATACGTATGATTCGTTTTGAGCTTTTAGATGAATGAGTTCGACTGGCTTTTCACAGCTTACGTTCGTGTGGTTTGTTTTTGTAAGCATTGGTTTTCATTTGTTCTGTTTATTGCATTTCGGAACTTAAACTCTTCATTTTATGAATACATATATCTTCTTTTATTATTTTAAAATAAAATGAATGCATTTTTTTCCCGATTTGTGTATAAGTTATCACTTCTTGGTATCAAAAAGAAAAATAATTCGTGATATATATTTTTTTGGGCTTCAGTCATAATAACACTAATGCATTTTCCAAGAAAAATATACAATGAATGACCCTTCAATAATAATTTTTATACCAACATAATTTCGTTATTATCTCAAATTTTACATGTTTTGTAATCAAAATATACTAATTTTGCAATATATTTTATTTTTTTACTATTTAAGTCGCTATTCCCTTTTTTAGTATGAAATTGATCAAATTTGTGATCGGTCAATTTGGAAAGAAAAAAAAAATGCGTGAATTGAAAACAAATTAGAATGAAAAATAAGGTTCCATAGGTTCATGTATGTGATCAAATTCCATAAAGTCCTTATTCTATTCACACTTATATAAAAATATTTCTAACATTATTTTGTGACCAATTTTCTAACGTAACAGTGTATATATATATATATATTCGTTTTGTCAATAACTATAATCATTTAAAAACAATAAAAATACTAAAATACCCTTTGTTTATCAAAACCCTTTTGTCACGCATTTTTCTTTGTATCACACGTCATAACTTCACCATTTTACTCGTTAGAACTCAATCTTTCATATTCATATATTTATATTTGAATCATATATTGCAAAACGACCATATAGTATTTAAAAATACAAAATTAAATTAAATTAAATAATATATTTTATAAGATCTTTAAAAAAGAGAAAATAACATTTTAATATTTAATTTCCTGTGACGCGATAGAAAATGAATGTGCACATGTTCTCTCTGTAAATCATGTGTGTGTATTTTTTATATTAAAGTTTATTTTGAATTAAAACAAATAAATAATATTTTTTTTATTAGGATATGAATAAATCTCATAGTTTGTATAAAATCAACAGTACACCCGTATTATTGAAATAAAATTATGAATATTGAAAAATTATACGTGGCCTATATCAATCATCAAAATTTAATTATATCCTCAAAGCGATAGTAAATTAAATACGTAAACGTTACGAAACATATTTAGAAAATATTTTAAGACGTCATATGGTGTATTCATGTTTTACAATAATAGAATATAGTTTATTATCATTATTAATATTTGGAGAATATATGTTTGAGTAACGGATTTACGTTAAGCTTGTGAACAAAGAAAAATTCTTTCCCCCTCGACGGTCCATTTCTTCCATCTAAAGCTCCCAAAAAAGTGAAAGTGGCAAAAATAAAACCCAAGTAAATAAATAAGTAATATTATTTAATTTATTTTAAAATATTTGGTTCAATCTTCGCATTCATGCTCTGGAACCGAAAATAGCAGTAAATTCTCGATCTTCCCATCAATGATTTTCTCGCCATCCAAACAGTCGAATCCCACGAACGAACTTCCCCTCTGTTGCTGCTTGTTCACAGCGGAAAGTGCAATCTGTTACTCTCCATTTCTCTTGTGTTTTCTTTTGGTTGAATCTGTTCCCCGGTTCTGATTTCGAATTCCGGTGAAATTCTCGCGCGATCACTGATCGGATCTCGTTCACTGGCGGAGCAACGCGACCGATTTCTGGGTTCTATGCATGCGGGGAGGACGGTGTAATTATCGCCGGCCCGGCTGTCACGACGGCGGAATCTATGGTTGGTGGTCAAATTAGGGGCTCGGAATTTGTCTCATATTGTGGATGTTCATCTACTGGTGCTGGATAAATGCTCTTAGCTTGGGATCTAGGGATTTCAAGCCTAGCCCTTGTCGTTTGTTTGGTCGTACCTCTGATCGGCTTCGTGGTTGGGCGGCAATGGCGTCTCGCGGCCCAGAGGAGGGAGGAGATTCGGAGGCTTCTTATTCGTGCGTCGGAGGAGGCTGCTAGGGCGGAGCTCGAGGCCTCTCTCGAGTACAGCTCTGTTTCCGTCTCTAATGGCTACTATTGTCCCGTTTGCTATGTCCCCGCGACGACTCGGTGTGCCCGGTGCAAGGCGGTTCGCTACTGGTATGCGAATTTTGCATCACTCGGTGAACCCTTTTCGCGTTTGTGCTAAAGTTCTGATTTTACGTAATTATTGTGAGATATTATTTGGGAATTCTATGATGTTCATGGCAGAATCGTTCTTCATGTCTCTCGTTTTTCATAAATTGAAGAATACAATTTAGAAAACTTTAAAGTAAGTGATATTGGAGTTGAGTTTCTTTAGCCATACTGGAAACAGATGTAGAAAAATGACATGGAATCATAAGAGGTTTCTATGGATTGGGGAGAAGAGGGTGTGGTCTTTGAATTGCTTCATATCGTCAATGGTATAGTTGAATTTATGTTTCACGAATATTAGCTGGTACTTGGGTAACATTATGCTGTAGAGGACTTACTTTATGACAACTAGATAGCTTGAGCTCTGCACGGTTTGAGTGGAGTGTTTCGTATTCTGTAAGTGATATATACATAATAATCCGTGTGCTTTCTCTTCTCAGTTCTGGAAAATGTCAGGTTTACCACTGGCGGCAAGGCCACAAAAATGAATGCCGTCCTGCTCCCATCACATGTAATACTGGCAATGAGAAAAGTGATTCTGGTTTGAAAGTCGCAGAGAAAAATGAAGTGGCTATTCTTGACGAAGTTGACTTGCAGTGTGCAGAATCAGCTGGGGCTGCAATCAGGGAATCTGCAGTCTCTAATGCTACCAGCTCCCTCGAAGATAAGATTGGAGGTATTGCAGATGTTAAGGATGACCCTCTTATAGATAAGGAAGAAGCTGTTTCTGTTGCTGAAACTTCTGGGTCTTCGTTTTCTGGGTTCTCTTCCTCTCTCAGTAATGATTCTTCTGATGATGATATTTCCATCTGTGAGAGCTTCAGTAATTCTGATTCGGAGAGACCAGAGCCCCCTCTTGATGCTGATATTGGTGTAGAGTCAGTGGAGACCTGTTTCGACACCGATGATGCGGTTCCATCTGAGCCGATGTCTCCTAAGTTTACTCATTTGGTTGAGTCAGTTGATAATCTTGCGAATATGGCTACATTAAGTCAGAGTAAACTAGGGGGTAATGTTGAGGAGAACCAGAGCCGATCCAGTTGCTTGCGCGCTAGTGTTATGGATAGGCATCGAGGATCCACTGACCAGTCTCCTGCGATGTCATCTGGTTTCTGGGGTAGGGCTCTTGGAACAATAGAATGTGTAAGTGATCCTAGTGATTGTTTTGGATCGTCCAAATCTGATGGAGCTGATGAAGAGAGCTTATCTGATACATGTTCCTCTATGCCCTTCTCTATTAGAACGTTCACAGTAACCTCAACTGATCCTGACAATGTTTCTAAGGCGAAGAGTAACATTTCAGATGAAATTTCCCTGACAGCATTAGAGACTGATAAAGCTAATGATAGAATTCTATCAAGAAGCTCCAAAAAAGCTACAAGTGGCTCAAGCCGTGGTTGCTACACTTCTTCCCCCAAAGTTAAAACTTCATTATCGACAATATCTTCTGCTACTCCAGCATCTGTTGTCAGAGAAGTTCCTACATCTGTGTGTCCTTTGGACAACACTGTTTTATCATTTGTGGCCCTTGAAAAGTTGAAGAGCGCCGATAAGGAAAATGACAGGGCTTCTGATGCCCGGAAGACTGGGGAATTTACCCATTTCGCATCAAAGAATGCGGATACAGGCAAAACTTCTGATGATGTGGAACCTTCTCATCTTACAAAATCTGGGAGAGTTCCTGATATTCAGAAACGGAATGCTGTGACCTTGCATGTTACAAATTCTTTACATGAAGAAAATGGCTTCAAGGCATCTGTATTGAAAGTTGTAGATCAGTGGACTACGCCGAAGTCATCAAATCAGTATAAACTATTAACTGGAAATGAGATAACACGAAAACATAGCCATAAGGTAATCACTGAGATGCTATTGCCCTAAGCACTTGGTCCTGCTATAAACAAATCCTGACAAATTTTTTTTCTTGCAATCTGTTTGAGATTCGCAGGGCCTCTTTCCATATGATTTTTTCATCAAGCTGTATAATTGGAATAAATTGGAGTTGCAGCCATGTGGTCTCATCAATTGTGGCAATAGGTTATGTGAAATCTCTTCAAATAGTAGCTATGTTAAGATAAAATTTATGTTCTCTGAAGTTTTATGTGTGTTATTTTCTTCTGCCTAAATTCTGCAACAAAAACGTAATGCTAATTTATAAAAACCTTTTCTTCTTGCAGCTGCTTTGCCAATGTTGTATTCCAATGCTTGATGTTCACACCTCCTCTGACTGCTTATTTCCTTCAGGGAATCCACTCCAAAACATGTGTGTTCCAGTTTTAAGTACTTTTACTTTGTGTTACATTTGTTGGAACATCGGATTTGTTAGCATTGCTATAACAAGGTCTAAATAGTGCCTTTAAACAACTAGGTCCAAACAGAGAACAGTGCTTTACTTGTGGGTTTGAGAACCTTGTCTTGAAGGCGAAAGAAGGGAAATCTCCTTTGTACCCTAGTGGGCTATTGGCTCAGCTGCAAAATATCGGAATCTGTCTTGGCAACGGCAAAGAAGAAGACGCACATGAATTCCTTAGGTGAGCTGGCATTCCGATATGCAGATATCCATAGGTTATAGCTATTTTTGAAATACAACATCTGAAAGAACCGTCTATGATTTCATATTCGTTTCCGTTTTATTTATGATTTTCAGGTATGTTGTAGACACAATGCAGTCTGTGTGCCTTAAGGAATCTAAACATGCTATGTTGGAGACTGCAAAACTAGAGGAGACAACCTTAATAGGTCTGACATTTGGGGGATACCTCCGCTCTAAGGTATCATCACCTCTTCGGGTTTTTTGCTATCTAAACTCAAAATTTTCAGGAGTTAAAGTTGGAATAACACTGGTCCTTGTTGCTTATCTTTTCTAAAAGAAATTGTTATTATGTGAAGGTTAAATGCATGAAATGTCAAGGGAAGTCTGAGCGGTGTGAGAAAATGATGGATCTTACAGTTGAGGTTGACGGGGACGTTAGCACTTTGGATGATGCTCTGCGACGATTTACAAGGACTGAGATTTTGGATGGAGAAAACAAGTACAAATGTGGCAGGTTGGTGAGCATTTTCTCTCCTCCTGTCGAGATGGCACTGTTTCATGGAATGGATTATACCATTTTATTGCCGTATTTATGTTTGTACTCATCTGTTATGGAGTTTGCGTCGTTGCAATTGATTTAGCCTTGTCATGTTTCTCATCTGCTATATAGCTCATAGAATTAATTTCCTAGCTGAACGAAGTTTACTCTCCAATCAAACAAGTCCATAAAACTTGGAGTATTTTGATGGTCTATTAATTCCTCGGTTCTTACTTATTGAACAACCATTCTCTTGTGAATTGTTGTTATATTCGAAATGGTATAGCCAGGATTGCTTGAGAGGGTTGGTGGGTGATCGATGTTTATTTGTCCTTTTTTGTGAGAAGGTGTAAATCCTATGAGAGGGCCAAAAAGAAGCTGAAAATACTCGAGCCTCCCAATGTCCTTACAATTGCACTAAAAAGATTCCAGGTAATTCCTATGATCAATGGGAACTGGTTGATGTCTCTTGATTAGGTTTCTCACAACTCACAATTCTGCAGTCAGGGAAATTCGGGAAGCTTAATAAGTTGATTAGGTTTTCGGAGACATTAGATTTGGCTCCATATGTGAGCGGAAGAAGCGATAAGCCACATGTCTATAAACTTTATGGAGTTATCGTTCACTTGGATATCATGAATGCTGCATTTTCTGGCCACTACGTGTGTTATATCAAAAACAGTCAAAACAAGTGGTACAAAGCCGATGATAGCACGGTAAGCTGTTCACCGATACTTTTTAAATAGTGTTTTTTACATGTATCTTGTGTGTGGAAATGATAGCTTGTGTTGAAATCTTGTCGTGTTGTATTATTTTTTCTAGGTAGTAACTTCTGAACTCGAAAGGGTCTTGACAAAAGGAGCGTATATGCTGTTCTACGCACGGTAATTCTTGCATTCTCTTTTCGATTATGGATAAGAACTCGAACTCTTCTCCTCGATCTAATTGCGGAATTAGTAAAAATCCAATTAATTAACTGCAGGTGCTCTCCAAGACCTCCAAGCACAGTCTGTACCAAATCAGTATCTACCAATAAAAACCGCAATATGCCACTGCCTAAGATCATCGGGAAAAGTACTGCTCCTCTACCACGGCCTGCTTCCACTCCGTCCTCTAAAATCCCCGAGGGTGGAGGAAACAGCATTCAGTCATTTTACTCCAAATTCCACAGACTGCAGAGGATTTTAGAAGAGGATTCATCGAGCGATAGTTCCTCTCTCTTTGACAGCAACTCGGATGAATGCTCTTGTAGCACCGAGAGCACGAGAGATTCCACTAGCATTGACGACTTTGCTGATTTCATTTTTGGAGAGCGTGGGCTCGGTGACCGTCATTCCCCTCATTCCGGGGCATCCTCATCTTCCTCATCCTCTTCCGTTTCATCCCCTCTGCCCACAAAGCACTCCCCACTAGCTGAGTCAGAACGCTCTTCTTCAGAGCTTCCCGAAACTTCAAGTCATAGAAAACGTTAGTTTTTTGCATAGGTATCGATCGAAATCTGATCATTGGTAAAAAAACAATGGAGGTTGATTTGCTCATGAGTTCTAAGTTCTAATGTTCTTGTGTCGTCATGTGGATTTGTGGTTTTGAGAAGAAGAGAGCAAATATGGGCAATGAGTATATATATATACACACACAGTGGGGGAAAGAGCTTTGCCCTTTGAAATGTATGAGGGGAGGTTTCATTTTTGTTAATAATCTCATTTCATACCCTTTTTCTTTTATTATTTTTAAATATTATGTTTTTTTAAGAAAATTATACTGGGATAAAGCCAAAATAGCCATTGGTTATCTTACTTTTCAAAACATTTTTATTTAAAATTTATTATAATAAATTCTCAATTGTTATTTTAAATAAAAAAATTATCAGTTATATAAATTATTTTAAAATAATATTTTATTTTAAATTTGTTAAAAAAAATTATCAAATATTAATTTTAATTAAAAAATTATCAAATAAAAAATACTAAAAAAAATTTATTTTGATTTTATTATAAAAATTAATAAAATTTAAATAAAAAACATATATAAATTATACAATTCTAAAACTTACAATAAATACATAATATTTATTCAAATTTATTATATTCTAATACTTAGAATTTATATAATTATTTACTTGTTATAAATTAAGTATATTTTATTTATTTTTAAATTGAAAAAATCAAATTCGAGCTAAAATGAATAGAAAAATAATTGAAAACATGGAATATTTATTTAAAAAATAAAGATTTTTATTAATAAAAATCAACATTAATTGAAACCGAATTCAGTATAAACATGAACAAATCCGAATATAACGGAACCAAACCGATATGGACAAGTGAAACCAATACTGATTGGAAATTGAATTCCCAAGTTTTCTTTAGCCCTTCTGATAATTGAAAGTATCATGAAGCATTTAGATCAAAATCTCTACATGAAACTTCCCAAAGTACAAAGATACAAGAAGTTAAAACAAGATTCACGACACAAATAGAATACCGTTTTCCTTGATCGTATCGATAACGATCCCGAGCTTACCCTCGATTCTTTCGCCTTTTCTCGGCTCATAAGACAAAGCATAAACATCCGCTTCCTTTGAACGCTCAGCTATGAGTGTACCGATGATCCTGCACGCGTTATGGTCGGTGAGGGAACGGAGACTCGTCCTGAGATCCTTGGCATTCGTGGTGGCAACCGAAATGACTTTGCTTGTCGGTCTGTGCATCACTTTCGCGTGTATGAACTTCTTGGAGAAGAAGACGTTGAGCAAGAACGGCCTCATGTACATGTCTGTCCTCTGCTTCCATGACTTCCTGTTCGGCCTTTTTGCTGCTTCACCCCGTGATCTTCGAGTCCACGCAGCTTGGATGAATGATTTCTACACAGAAAAGCTCAAGAATTTACCCGAAACACGAGATGGGTTTCTTTTAAAAAAAACACCGATGGAGGGGGGTTTCTTGCATCTATGTTCATCGGGTTTCGCTGAATTCAAGATTGTAAAACTAAGCCGAGGATGGGCAAGAGGGCCGCATGTTTCATCATATATCATTGTCATTTGTTATGTGGTACTGAAAAACCAATCCCTAAACCCTAAACTGATCAAGAAAACGAGCTCGAAGAAATGAAAACACATATACTGGTAGAGGGAACATATACATTGTTCATGAATATCGGGTTTTTCGCTAGAGTCAATATCCCCCAAATTTACCTAGCCGATTATTTAATGTGATCAAAACGGAATGACAATAGCTCAAGCAGCTTTCTTTGTCATGAAAACTGAACTTTTCACCAAATTCAAATTTGTATAACCAAGACAACGAAATCATACAAAGGGCAAGATGATTCGTATAATCGAATTCGATAACCAAATCAACTTCTCGGTCGATAAAATTTCATTTTTCTTCCTCAGTAGCCAAGCAAGGCCAAGGCTTGTTGAGATGATCATGCTATGAACAGAAAGGTATAAACTTTCACAGAAATCTAAAACTTTCTTGACCCAGATTGTATGATTTAAGTCATGAGTGATTTACCTAAGCAAACCAATACATAAGATAATACAGTCTCACGAATGATTTACCTATGAGAAACCAAATGCCCAGATCAAATTTTCAACGGCAATGTTTTCAGAGTTCAATCACCGATGGTAAAAGTAAAAATCTTTTTCACTTGGGCCCTTCAAATTCCATAATCAGAACTCCACCTAGAACCCTGATTCCATTTCAAGTCTTCCAAACCCACAAAATCACGAAACTTTCTGTCGAATTCAATCATACCCAAAACCCCAAACAACGACCTGAGGATCGTGGCGAATCGATTGAAGATGAAAAGGCACGAAAATGGCACCAACTACAGGAACAAACTCAGACTAACCCTAAATTTTTCGTGCCCCGAAAACAGAGCGAAGAAGAGAGTTTTACCTTGTTGACGATGGGGGATGAGATTCTCCAGGCGGTGTCGACAGAGAGTCCAAGAGAAGGAAATGAGGACACCCATGAGAGTGATGAGCCGAGTTTGCCGGAGCGAGTCTGGCGAGTCGCACCCGAGTCGAATGGGGCGAGTGAGAGGGACGATGAGACCACGGAACAAGACATTTTCTATGGGATAACCCACTTGGACAAGAACGAAAGGGGAAAGAGCTCTAGATTAGAAAAAGGAGACGACTTCAATCAAAGTATACAAGGTCAAAAGAAAATTAAATAATATACGAAAAAGCATCGGAGGGACAGTGAACAAATTATGGGTTTGATTTAGCGGAGGTTATTTCGATTTTTGGTTCGGGTGCAGTTCGATTATATTTGATTTCAGTATTTCGGTTATAAAAAAATTATAATTTTTTATATTTTTATATTGATTTTAGTTCAGTTCGATTTAAATTCTGTTTTTATTCTAAAAAAACTCATTTTTTATAAAAATTATCGAGTTTTTCGGTTATTTTTATTCGGTTCGGTTTTAGTTTTTTCGGATTTAGAGAAATAACAACTATTCAATTTTTATATCGTATTTGATTCAGGTATGGGAAGGACCCCACTAGATGGAGATAGGAATATCATAGGATCATAGAAACTGGATTAGTCCGGTTATATCTTATTCGAGACAATTCAATTATTCGGTTAATAACCAAAATGACGATACTAGTTAATTTTGACGTGATGAGAAGAGAAAAAGGTTATTACATTTTGTTTCATCAACAAAAACAGACAAAATCTTCTAACTATTTCGCTTACTCAAAAAAATTCTCCTACTTTAAACTTATTACAAAAAAAAAAAAAACACGCAGAAAACACTATATTTTTATTTTATTTAAAAGAACATACATACACGTGTAATGGCGGCCGGATGATTTGGAGAGATTAGAACTGAAATTGAAGCTTTTGACTTGGAATCACCAATGGAGGGTTTTCAAGTTTTAGGGTTTTAAAGATCACACAAAATCACCAAACTATTAATCAGGTGTCCGATCGATCATTGGGCCAATTTCTGGAGGAAGTTTCTAATTAACACCAATTTTTGGCCTTTCAGTGTTAACATTTTCCATGATATATATATATATAATGTATTTATTTATCTAGAATATTCTTATAAAATAATAATTTTTTATGTGCAAATATCAATTGAAATAAAAAAAAAATCTAACGAAAACTTAGTAGAGATGTTTTTTTTTTTGTTTGCAAATGGTCTTAAGTTAGTGTGTTGTTTGAATGATGACAAGATCTCCATAAGATTGATTCTTCTCCATTTCCCCTCAATCATCCGCGTTTACTGTGCTCATCTCTCTTTCTCTTCATGTTTTGGCTTTTCCTTGCCCAAGTACTTGTAAACCAAAACGTGTTTTTGTGTTATGGCGTTTACAAGTGATGATATGTAATAACTGAGCACAAGGAAAGAAGGTGAAAGTGTTGTGGCGTTTACAAGTGATGGAGAAGGATTTACCCTAACAGATTTGAGGAGAGAGCCTCAGTGGTATCCGAGCCGACGTAGGAATTGGCCTGAGTCACGTCTCTCACCCATCCATACGGGTTGTCAGTGCTCGATTTCTTCGCTATCTGCAAGTACTTCACCTGCAACCGAGAGAGACGCCTCGGGCAACCATTATTAACAATTTAACAGCGCTTGCTTTTGAAACGTCTTGCACGCATGACAAATGGGATTCAGCCAGTTTTTGTTTGCATAATAAGTTCAAACTCAAGAGTTAGAGTACGAGTTTTTCTCACCTGAGGACGGGATACATTGTACATCGGCATCGTGAATGTCATGCCGACAGGCCCGGCTTCCTTCTGTTATATTGCCTGCAGTTAATATACGAAAAGGAATTAGGTCGAAACACAATGGAAACGAGTCTCTCTCTCTCTCCTTATCTTTCTTTCGAACCGAGGTAAAGACCTCGCGAACATAGAACAACGAAACGTTAAGTAGGCTTTCTATATGATTCAGAATACAACGTGAAAGGATGGAGTTTCACCTTAAGGCGCCCCGCTTTTTCAATCAAGGTATTCACATGGAACGGAGGCTTGAACTCCTGCGTCATAACTGGGAATTCACCGTCTGGCGGGACCTGAAAACAGAAACATAGTGATAATAACAAGTTGGTCCAAGAGGTAGACGGATTCCAATTTCCAGGCACGACTAATTGTTTTAGTCTCGCCAGGGCCAAAGTTCTGTCCATGTCAAAGCTATCGAGACGGAGTTGTTACCACTAAACTTGAAAAGATTTTCTCTAATGATGTCAACAGAAATCTTCTCCCTTCTCCGACCCCCAAGCTCATTGGCTACAGCAGATTTAGTAACAGCTGTTCCAGGCACCCCTTTGGCCCTCAAGGAATTGGTCTGAAGATATAGAAAGCTGCAAATCGTTGACGACAGTATTAACTACCGTAAAGATAGCAGCAGGAGCAACCGCAATCGGCTCATTAAATACATAGGATTTCAGAACTTCGGTACATGTCACAATAGGAACCACATCTCAGTGAAACAACTGAAAGATCGCACAGATTGATTAGCTCGGAAAGCATTTTCACAGTAAACCAGCTAAAAACACCAGATATCGCATCGGACAGAATTTGGTAAAAAAGCAGCGTAGAATTATCTGAAGTGGTATAGTGAAGATGAGACCGTAACATACAGCCGCGGAAGACGATGCTGTCGCCTCGCTGAGACAAGACGAAGACCTGAGATATCATCGTTTTCGTTGTTTCTTCGCCTGAGAAAGATCGATCTCACCGGCTGAATTCGACGAAGTTTAGGTCTCTCTCTCTCTCCTCGGAGCCGGCGATCTCGTCAGTGCTGTAGTAGGCAACGTTTCATCCCATTCGACGCCGTGAAAAAGCCTCTGGTAGAATCAGAATGTCCTGAGTCGGGGAGTTCTTAATAGCTCCAACGGGCTAATGAGTGCCATTTTATTAAAGCCCAATTTTATTATTAAAAAAAAAAATACTTACGTTATTGGATCTTGCCGAGGTGTCAATCTAGGCTCTAGATCCCAAGTCCAACATGAATACATTCGAAAAATGACAAGACTCTGGTAAAGGTTCAATTCGGGTTACGGGTTCGATTCGGATTTGTCCGAAAGTTGGATATTTTTTTAAGAAATTAATTGAAAAAATTAAAATTACAAAAGAATTGAGCGATCCGAGCTTGAAATTTATAGAGTCGGATTTTGCACTTCATTATATAGGCACAAAAAAAAAAAAAATCGGATCAGTCTGAACCTAAATTCGAAACTCTCGAATCGAATGCGGATTCAGCCCGGATCGGACCGAACCAACTCGATTGACACCTCTCTTGCCGATGGCAAAAGAGTTCCGCTTACAATAAATGGTTCAACATATTTGGGTAATGAGTTCAAATTATGCTAAATTGGTCCTTTACCGAAAATTAGTTTGAAAATATAAAGATTTAAAGGTATTAGTTTATAATTTAATATCATTCAAAACACTTTGTGGATTATCAAAACAAAATAAATAAATTTATTCTTTAACAAAGCTAATAGGTTTGGTTCTTCTAACAAAAGTTTCATTAGCATCAAGTTTAAACTAAATCAAGGCGAGTACGCTTGGTTCTTCTACTAAACAAAGAATCAACAGGGGGAAAAAAAACAGCAAGAACTATCGCAATAACAACATTTCAGATTGGACGAGAGCCAGCCATCTTCTAAAAGCCCAAAGCACTATAGAAAGAACAACAGACAAAGAAATGGACACAAGGTCTATGTTCTGTTCTATCCAAAGATTCCGTTACCACAAAGTCGGCTACTTTGTGAAACGATTTCAAAACAAGACAGCTTCCAAAAGGGTCACGGCAAATGGTCAAAATGTTACAGAAATTAGGCCTGTGGTTTAAGGGGACAAGGCAGAAGATGGAGGGAACCCAAGAACCAAAAAAAGGGAAGCTCAAAATCATAAATTAAGCTTCTAATTCTACCAAACAGAGCTTAGACAATAGACAGGGCTACAACATACACTGTTTATGGTGTCTCTCTAGAATTTACCTGAATTCTCTCCGGCGAAAGATCACGGAAGCGGATTCTTCCGCGGCCGTCCCCGCTTCTTCGGCACCCCGTCTGCAGCAGCTGCAGGGACATTCACTGCTTCATTGCCTCTCTTTGCGACGTCACTGGGTCCACCAGGCGCGGCTGCTGCTGCGAAGCCATTCACGGCGGCGGGGTGGTGGACTGTGGGGAAAACCGGCGGCATCCAATTTGGGAATTTCGATGTATCCGCCATTGAAGCTCCTGAAGCTTCCTTCGCGCTCATGAATCCCATCGGGAAAAAACCCCAACAGCAGTAATACTCGTCTCTTCCGGGCACCAATGGCGGCAATTGAGCGATTTTCGCCGCGTGGAACGCCCTCCTGCAGTTTTGGCACCGGACACAGCACTCCTCGTAAACCCCAGGGTACTCGTAGAGACCGTAACAGTACGGGCACGTCGTCCAAAACGTCGCCATCCTCTCGTTCACTCCGCCGGATTTCCGCCACGGCGGCGATTTCTCCGTCTCCCGGTGATTTAAGTCCACCTTGGTGAAGAACAGATTCAGCTCGGAATCGAACTGGGACTTCTTCGGCGCATTCGACAGCACATGCCACGCATCGGCGACAAACCTGAAGGCCTGGTCGGCGTACGGGAGCCGGTTCTTGTCGGGATGGAGGAGGAGCGCGAGCCTCCGGTACTGCTTCTTGATCAGATCGATGTCGGAAGAGGATCGCTGGGGATCGATCTGGAGGATGCCGTACCAATCGGGGTGGTTTCCGACTCGATTCTCCGCCGCGAGGAGGACATCAACCACCGCCAGGATCTGGTCGGAGCCGTCGAGCAATGGCTCCAACTCCTGGGCTAAGATCGCGAACTCTTTCGAGCCGTTTAGATCGTGTGATTCGAGGAGCTTTTCCGCGATTCCTAGGAGACGCTCTGCTTCTGCTCGATTAGGGTTATCTTCCATTTCTCTTCTTCCTCCTCGCTTCCTTTCGATTTTCCCTTTAGTCTTTTATTTTTTTTGAAGGAATAGTGAAAAGTATTTTAAGAAAATAAACTAAAATTAGAAACGAAAGTAAACTAATCAATCCGAAAATTTTATTATTAATTTGTTCTATCCAAACTGTTTTCTAAAAAATAACTCCATTCAACTTCAATTTAATTTGATTTTATTATATTTTTATTTTTGAAATCCAGATTAATTTAAATTTGAAACAAACTAATGAACTCGATTCTCTTATGCTAGTATTTAACACAAATGCTTTAGCTTTATCTTCCATTACAACCTTAAAAATAATTCATTCAGTAACATTAAATACAATTAAAAATAAGCTCCAAAGGTGAAACTTTAAAAAGCTTTGAGAGGGAAATTTGCGTGAAAGAGTGAAAAAGTTTAGGAAATTTCTTGAGAAATGCAAAAATTCAACAAAAAAATTGGTTCAGATGAAAGGAGTGGATGTTCCGGTTCCGTTTTTGTTTATAATGATGAAAAATAATTTTTAAAGAAATATATAGTTTTTTTATTTTTATATCTAGTTTCAGTTTTCTTCTTATTTGATTTTTCGATTATAAAAATATCATCACCATTTGATTTTTATATCAGTTTCGTTCGAATGCGATAACGTGTTAGGGGACGATTGGTTGCGCCGCTGTCACCCGCAAACAGGACAGTTACGATTTTTGACGATTGCGGACGATTGAAAACTGATTGGTTGAACCGCAATCACCCGCACCCGCAATCAAACTTGTGTTTTCTAACCGCACCTTCCAACTTGCGTTTTGATAGCGGTTTCCGGCGTTTTGAAAAAGAAACTAAAATATCTTTATTAAAAATTATATAAAATACTAATATATATATATATATATTGGTGATGATTTTATTTATTTTTATGATTTGATATTATTTTCTAGTACTATATTTTAATAAAAAATACAATATTATAATTTTAAAGTTTAATAATGATTATTTTTAATAATTTTTATAATAAAATTATTTTTTTACTTAAAAATAAATTAAATTGATAATATTTTTATTTTAAATTTATTAGTAAATAAATTTTATCAAATGATAATAAATATTTAATTAAAACTATTATAAAAAAATTATTTTAAAATAATATATTTTATTTTGATAATTTATATCAAACGCAACCGCAACCGCAATGAACCATTCACTTCCAACAGCATCTACCCCAATCGCTACCAACTACAATTTATCAACCAGTCGATACTAATCGTTCATAATCGCTATCAGACGTTCTGAAAACGCCACCACTCGCAATCGTAACCGCTGCGGTACAACCAGTCGAACTCGTATTCGATTTGTTTCGGTTGGATTTATGAATAACTTAATCAAATGCCTCTATAATAATAATAATAAAAAAATCTGTAAGAAAAAATTGTCATTCTCCAAATCTATTGTCTAGAAAACCGAATTATCCAAAAACCAAAAGAATAAAAATCTAAAATTCTCTTAATAAAAACCGGAATCTAAATCGGAATCGGAATCAAACAGAAATTAATATAAAATAATAAACGATTGATACATAATTCTATAAAACCAAAAAAATCGAATCAAATCATTCTCAAACTTAACCCGAACCGAATACAGAAACGCTCCCTCATAAGTAGAAGTGCCCACGGGTAACGCTTTGGCGGAGGATACGTAATATTATCTATCCATCCTTTTCTCAACTTTTTACTATTTGTCTCGAGTAAAAGTGATAATATAAACATACTATAGTATTATTTTCTTTATATTGATAGGATAGAGATATATTGACATTTATTGGAATACATCTCTAGATTAAAACCCCTATATATAAATTTTTAGAGCATTATCTTTATACCTGCAACTAGTTTTAACTAACTTTTCATCCAATAATAATGATCATATAACTCTACTATAAAAATATTTTTTTATATATTGATACAATAGAAGAAATAATCGATATTTAAAAAAAAAAATTGAATCTATAAACCCAAAATCCTAAATATAATATTTAGAGTAATATTAACATAGTGGGCATAACACAGTAATGGGCCAAACCAAAACCAACAAACGGCCCAAGAAATAAATGAAAGGAAAGATCATATATATATTTTTAATACACTTTATTACGTTTTTAATCTCACGAATTTCAGGATAGTTTACGTTTCTTACAGTGATCTCATTATTCGACTATAAATATTATTTATATAACTAATTACTTGATTTTCATAATCCTCCATTTATAATAAATAGGAAGGATATAAACGAAACTAATTAGGTTTTGATGTGATCCAGCTTTTCAAAATTCAAATAATTAAACTTTAGCAAATCCAAATCAAACCTAAATCATAAACCTTATCGACCCACATCGCATAAAAACAATTATGCATTATAAATGTTTTAGGTCAAGAAGTTGAATATAGTAATCAATAAAAAAAAAAAAACCCTATGAAAGGAGGGAGACGGTGGCCCATTGGTCACGAGGGTGTGTTAAAGGAAAGATTCCTCTTCACATATATCAGAGAGAGAGAGAGAGAGAGAGAGAGAGAGAGAGAGAGAGAGAGAGAGAGAGAGAGATGTATAAAAAGAGTGGTGGAGGATGATGGTAGTGAATAAGTAGTACGACAAATCCACACTGTATGCACAGCCTGCAATGAAGTGATTTCTGATTGGATCCCACATGTACGGAACAATCATACCCCCACTCCCACCTCTATAGACCATTATATATATATCCCAAACATTTAGAATTGTATTGTATAATTAGGGGTCGGTCGGCGTTTCGTTATTTGACTTAGATTCAGATCAGGAAGGAACGGTTCGATTAGATTCTCTTAATTTTACGTATCAATCAGTTATTATATTATATTTTATTTGGTTTGGTTTCGATGTCAGTTTGATTCGGTTTCGGTTTTTATTAAAAAAATTATAACTCTATAAAAAAATCGGATTTTTTAAAAATTCGATTCGGTTCGGTTTTAAAAAATCTATTTTTCTAAAAATAATACCATTCGAGAATTTTGAACAGTTCGAATTAAAAAAGATACCATATTTTTTGGTTTGGTACGGTTCGATTCCGAGAAACCGAAGCGAAACACCCACCCACCCCTATATATAATATAATTAGTTCTTAGGTTGATTTCAGATTTATTTTATTAAATTTTAGATTCATTGGAATATGATTTGGATTTAATTTTATTAATGTTTTTTTATTAAATATGTTTACTTCATCTGCATTTAATTCAATCGTATTAATATAAATTTTAAAAATATATATATCAAATAAACTCTTAGATTAAGTTTCGTTTGAATTTGGCTAGACATTGTCACGGTTAGTACACTCTCATTTTATACGTTCCTAACTATAATGTTGATATTTCCTATAAAAAGCTGTCTTTTTTCTTTGACATGTATTATATCTTAATCTCTAAATATATGGTTAAAAACAATATTAAATGGCAAACGAAGATTGACAACCACGGAACTCCTTCAATTACCAATTAAAAGATACCACGTTATCATGTGCATGGACTTTATATATATATATATAATTATAAATATAATATCCATGTGTGTGTATGTGTATATATATATATGGGATAAACAAGGCAATCAGTTGTTTGATTTTACTATTAATTTGACAATATATACTTACCCGATGTTAGAATTGATTTACACATTTTTTTTAACTAGTTGAATTTATAATTTATCATGATGATTATATTTATATGACTGGCGTTTCATTGAAAGGAGCAAATCAAATTGTGATAGAAGGAGAGATAATGATATAATGGCTCATTGTAAATCTTTAAATATTGTTTTAGACTTCATATATTTTTTTTCTATAGACCTAATTTTCTCCCATTTCATAACAAAATATAAAAATATTCCTCAATAACACACTACAAAAAAAGCGCTAAACTACGACGGACATTGCGACGGATATGTCCGTCGCAATAAAATTAACGACGGCTAACGACGGAATACAGACGGTGAACACTCTGACGTATTCCGTAGGTTTCCGTCGCAACCTAAGACGACGGAATGTGACGGAGTACTCCGTCGCAAACGTATTGCGACCGAAAACGAGGGACTTCCGACGGAATTATGCGACGGACTACCCTCCGTAACTTTCCGTCGTTTTTTAGCGACGGAAATACGACGCACCGTATCCGTCGTATAGTTAGGTATAGTTAGGTGGGAAACGTTTTTTTTTTGCCAGAATGTCCGTCGCAAACGGTCGCATTCCGTCGTGAGTTCGGTAGTCCGTCGGTATCCGTCGCAACAAATCCGTCGCACGTCCGTCGCATATCCGTCGCAATTATCAAGAATATAACCCCGCGCATATCACCACCATCAAGCAACCGAAAAATAACCCTCCCCACCGAAAAATAACCCTCCCCAAACGAAAAAAAACCCAAAAAAAATGTCTTTCAATGCAAGGAGATGGATGTATGAAAGAATAGATCCATACACAAATCAAATATGCAAAGATTTTGAAGAAGGATTGCAAGCGTTTATGACGTTTGTTACATCTCAACCGTCATATATCGAAGGGTCGAAACTTCCATGTCCGTGTGTGAAGTGTGAAAATACGAAATGGCAGTATATTCAACAAGTGTGGAATCATCTATATCGAAGAGGGTTCATGTCCAATTATTTTGTTTGGCTAGCTCACGGAGAAACAGTGGACACGACGTCTTCATATGGTGCAGTTAATCAAGTCATTATCGATGAGCAGCGAAACGAATTTCAACAAGGAGAAAGAAATCCGTATTCAGAAATGGTGTTTGATGCGTTTCCAAATGTCGGTCAACCGTCTTACGGGGAGGAAGAAGAGCCAAATTCCGAGGCTAAAAGGTTCTACGAGATCCTTAATACATCGAGCACTCCAATATATGAAGGATGCATTGAAGGTCTATCGAGATTGTCGTTGTCGTCACAATTGATGAACATGAAGACTGATTACAATATTCCGGAGAAATGTATGGACGGATTTAGTCAGATGTTCAAACAATATCTACCAGAAGGTAATACTGCAACAGAATCGTATTATGAGACGAAGAGTCTGATGCGGAAGTTGGGGCTACCGTATAAAAAGATTGATGTTTGCGAAAACAACTGCATGATTTTTTGGAAGGATGACGAAGGATTGATGCAATGTCGGTTCTGTGGGAAGGATCGGTATCGGCCACGACGAAAAGCATCCAAAAAAGGCAAGTTGATTCCATTGAAAAGAATGTTTTATATGCCTATTACAGATCGATTGAAGAGATTATATCAGTCTGAGAAAACCGCATCACATATGAGGTGGCACGATGAACATTGTACTCCAGATGGGGAAATGCATCATCCATCAGACGGGTTAGCATGGAAACATTTCCAACAGGTATTTCCTGATTTTGCTCAAGAGGCTAGAAATGTTTATCTAGCATTATGCACAGATGGGTTTAATCCATTTGGAATGTCGGGTCGGAACTACTCTGTATGGCCGGTGATTCTAACACCGTACAATCTACCACCCGGAATGTGCATGAGTAGAGAGTTTTTGTTCCTCTCAGTACTGGTTCCAGGACCTACACATCCTAGAAGAAGTTTAGACGTGTTTCTTCAACCGTTGATAGAAGAGTTGAATGAGTTGTGGAGTGTAGGTGTCACTGCATACGATGTGTCGGTGAGGCAGAATTTTTTGCTTCGAGCAGTTCTTTTATGGACGATTAGTGATTTTCCAGCTTACTCTATGTTGTCAGGTTGGACAACACATGGTCGTCTAGCGTGTCCATATTGCATGGATGAAACTGATGCATTTTGGTTGCAGCACGGACGAAAAATGAGTTGGTTTGATAGCCATCGGCGTTTTCTACCAAGAAATCACGTGTTACGACGCAACAAGAAGAATTTTCGAAGAAATATAGTTGTTGTTGATTCTGCGCCACTTGAACATACCGGGGATGAAATTTTACTTGAACGAATCGAAGAATGTGTTCGGTCACATGGATTATCTACTACATCAGTGGTTGGTGGTAACGGTCATTTACCGATTGAAGGATATGGTGATTATCACAACTGGCATAAGAAGAGTATATTTTGGGAATTGCCATATTGGACGAGGATCCGGTGTTTCTAGCCCTTCTACCCCTACTTCTCAGCAGCCCCCAATACCCACACCTCGTTTGGATCAACCTTTCACGGGTCATTTCGCGATGTGTTGACCTCGGAGGAAAAAAATTAACAGGTATGAAGAGTCATGATTGTCACGTCTTCATGCAACGATTGTTACCTATTGCATTTGCAGAGATACTTCCAGAACATGTCAACCAAGCTATATCAGGTATATGTTTTGTTTCGTAGTAACGATTTTAATATTACTTAAGATCTTTACACGTGTGATTTAGTTATATGTTGATATTGTATTTATAACCTCATGTTTTTGAACCGTAGGAATTAGTAACTTTTTCCGGGAAATCTGTAGTCGGACATTGAAAAATGAAGACGTCCAGTTGATGAAGCAAAATATTGTTCTAATTTTGTGCAATTTAGAGAAGATATTCCCACCATCTTTTTTTGATGTGATGGAACATCTGCCAGTTCATCTGCCACGAGAAGCGGAACTCGGCGGTCCGGTTCAGTTTAGGTACGTATATACATTAATATTATTATCTATATGATTTTAATTATGTATTTGAATGGAAACGTAGATTTATTGTGTAATTGTTGTAGATGGATGTACCCGTTTGAGCGGTTTATGTACCACTTGAAACAAAAAGCGAAACAAAAGGCGTTTGTTGAAGGAAGCATTGCAGAGCAATATATAAACGAAGAAATATCATTCTTCACCTCGTATTATTTTGAAGATCAAGTGGAAAAAAAGAATAAACAACCAAACAGACCATTTCACACCGTAGATGGACCGGAGTACGGTAATGTTGTCATGGATATTCCGCAATGTTTCTACAGAAAAGGACGATGTGGTGGTCGAGAAATCGATGCACATTTATCGGACAAAGATTACCATGTGGTCCACACGTATGTTTTGTTGAACTGTGAAGAAGTTCTACCGTTCGAAAGGTGCGTATATACGTATTTATTTTTGGGTTCCATGGATAGTTAAACTTTTATAACTTGTCTTGTGGTTTTTTGTAGGATTTTTGATGATCAGGTATTCAATACGTACGGTGATGTAAACGATGATCAGTTAAGCCAGATTAAAGAGAACGGATTCGCAACCTGGTTAAAAGAATTTGTACGTAATTAATTAAATAATATCGCATATGGAAGAACACTAACCACATGCCAAATTGTTGCTTGATTTTTTTTTACAGATTGAATCATTGCAAGAAGATCATCCATTGTGGTTACACGAGTTAGTTCAAGGTCCCATTCGGCTGGTCAAATGTTGTTTAATTATTTTGTTTGTAGGCTCAAAAAGAAGGTGTAGAACCGTCGGTTCTACGAGTTCTTCAGGAGACACACCGTCGATCGGACGGTACATATGTGAATGAGCGGGTCCAGGAGATCGAGGAGTTGGTGCAGTCCAAGATCGACGATAAAGTCTCCCAGATGGACGAGAGTTCTGCTTCTACACAACTCTCGACAACCGAAGTTAACAGCCTATATCTAGAGGTAAATATTTATAAAATTAATAGTTCTGAATTTTAAAAATATATGATTGTATGCTAATTTTTCTTTCGTTGTATAGGTTGTCCATCCGGATGCCAAGGGCCGTATCTATGGTATCGGCACCTTGGCATCTCAACTGGGCGGGGGAGAAACTTCTGCTCCGGCGATTACTCACCATGTCGCGCTAACGCGTCAAGTGGAAGAGTTGAAACGCTCCCAAGAGCGGACGAATGCAGAACTGGCAGAGGCCCGGGCGAAGATCGAAGAGTTCGAGCAACATCGGGAGAAGCTACAGAAGCTCTCCGAGACCGAAGCGAGGATCGTACGCTTCGAGGAGATGATGCAGCGCCTCACACCGTTCATGCCGCCTATATTCGACCAGTATGGCTTTCCGACGACATCTCGGCAGCCAGATGCTCCTGAGGACGATCCAGAGGACGCACCCACCAATCTCGACAACGATGCACCGGTAGATCCGTAGATGTATTTGTATTATAACTCTTTCTAAATTATTGTATTATACTTTTTTTTTAAATATGAATCTTTTTTTGTTTTTAATTAATTCGTATTTTTATTTATGAATTTGTTTTAATAATTGATTTTTAAAATCTTTAAATTAATAACAAATTTTTTATTTTTTAATTATTTTTACAAAGTTTGCGACGGATGCAACTCCGTCGTAATCCGTCGTTACGTTCGAAAATTAATAATGCGACGCATACACGACGGATATCTGCCGTCGGTAACTTGCTACGGACCAACTCCGTCGGAATCCGTCGTTACGTTCGAAAATTAATAAAGCGACGCATAAACGACGGATATCTGCCGTCGGTAACTTGCTACGGATAATTCCGTCGCAATGTGCGACAAACATAAACGCGACGGTCTACGACGGTTTATTTCCGTCGGTAATATACCGACGGAAATGTCCGTCGTAAATTTGCGACGGTGAAACCGACTGAAACAAATTTGCGACAGCTATGTACCGACGGATTTGTGCCCGTCGTGACCCGTCGCAAAATATCTGTTGCGACGGATATGTGTTCGCGGTGCGACGGATACGTCCGTCGCATATGCGATGTATTTTTGTAGTGTACATCATTATTGCAATATTTAGAAAGAAAAAAAATCATATGAACTATGAACGGGATGAGGAAAAGGTAACGACCTATGGGAATCTCTTTGAAAACCAGAAATAATAAATATCACTTCGTTTCATTTATCGCTCGACAATCCACCACACAAGAAAATCTAGTACGAGTATTTTATTAATTTCACGAAACCAGACAAAGTTGAACTTTTGGAATAGGTTTTAGTCATTGCAAAAAATTAAACAAAAATACGATGTGAATTGTTTTCCTTAAGAGTAACCACATATAATGATATAATATTATAATATGAATTTAAGAGCACACTGTCGCATTCCCATCTCTCTCTCTCTCTCTCTCTCTCTCTCTCTTGCTCGCTCATACACACGCATGTGCACATCACAAAACACAAGTATATTTCGATACTTTTTTGGGCAAAGTGTTAAAAATCCATGCTCCTTTGATAAGTGTCGAGAGACACTGTTTAGCTATAAAAAGTAGCCTCATCTTTCCTTTATTGAACACACAAATCTCTCTCTCTCTCTCTCTCTCTCTAGATCAGGAAAAAGCAAAATCCCACTTTCATCCTTCTTCCATTTTTGGTGAGTGGTGGAGAGATTGCAAAACCTAATCCGGCTTCCTCCATCTCGAAAAGGTAAATCAATCCCTCAAAATCAGATCTTTCTTCTTGAGCATTGATGGGCTTCGTAGATCTGTTCCCTTTTCTTTTCTGGGTTTCCCTCTTTGGGTTTATTAACTTTTCTCCAACTGGATCTGATCCTGATCCTCTTTCTCGCTCTACCCAGCTAGGGTTTTCAGACAACCGTATAACCCTTTTGAGTTTATGATCAACTTAGTGATTTGTCTGAGGTTTGAGGTTTAATCACGCAAATTTCACCTGATTTATTTCTTTTTTCTTCGATGTTTCTTGATTAGAGGATATGGCGAGAGAGAAGATAAGGATAAAGAAGATAGACAACGTGACTGCGAGGCAAGTGACCTTCTCTAAGAGAAGAAGAGGAATCTTCAAAAAAGCTGAAGAGCTCTCCGTTCTCTGCGATGCTGAAGTCGCTCTCATCATCTTCTCCGCCACCGGAAAGCTCTTCGAGTTCTCTAGTTCAAGGTACATATATAACATGTATATATATATATATAAGTATGTACATGTGTATGTACATGTGTGTGTATACGGACATGTGTACGTATTTGTGTGTAAAAGTGTATAAATTTGAAAACTTTGTCAAATCGCCATGAAAATGTGAACATTTTCGATGTTTGTACAAAAGGGTTTGAGCGGTTAGAGACAAGTTAAGGGTTTACAAACACAAGGCAGGAGAATAAGAAGAATTAATGTGTGGTCGGAGAGGGGTAAACATGATGAGATATGATGATCACAAATTTCATTAGATTTAATGTTGTTTAATTTCATTGTTACATGTTTCTCGGGTTTGGAGATTATCCAGTGATGGAACCTGCATATATTCATAATGTTGTACAACTGGGTTCGTCCTTTTTTCATAAAATATAATGGCTTGGCTAATGGCTATGCATATAATGTGTGTGATATATATATATATATATATATATATATATATATATATATATATATGCATATTATATACGTAGTGGAATGATAGAGTATATTCTACCAATTACTTTTATGAGTTAACAGTGAGTTTATCAATCATTTGCGTTACTCATATGGCAATATATACATATATACATATAAATATATATAGGAGATGACCATGTGTATCTATATATATAGTGTTTAATTACTATAATTAGAATGGAGATTCTCGAGTCTTGACTAATGTCATGAGGTTAACACTAGCTTTAGCTTCCACAGATCCGTTCATTCGCTTGTGGTCATTTGACCGATGGAGGAATTAATCAAGTCTTAACCACAGCATGAGAGAAGTACATATGAACTTCAAAATATCCTTGAAGTTACATATATATATAATTTTAGGCAACTCCAAATATATATTAGTTAAGAGATGATGATATACATGCATGTGAGATCCCTTGAAATAATCAAGAATTCACAATATTAGTGTTCTTGAATTTATGTGTGTATAAACATTATGTGAGATCTAGATATGGAAGTTACATATTCACCAACTCGTTTACAACATATATATATATATATATATATATATATATGAGATAATTAATCTGCTTTTGTTATTGTGTTAGAAGAATGAGAGACATGTTGGCAAGGTATAACCTTCATGCTAGTAACCTCAACAAATTCAACCCTCCTCCTCTCGATATTCAGGTAATTACATAATTTTAAACTAATCTCTGTTTATTTCATTTCTGTTTTATTTTTTCATTCCTTACACACACACACACATGTATGCATGCATATATACATATATATATATGTGTGTGTGTGTGTGATCCTTATGTCAAATGTGTGGGAATTCCATGGTGCACACTAACTAAATGAAAAATGGTTAAACTATCCTGAAATATGTGCTTATTCAACAATGGTGTTTAAATAATGTTGTAGCTTTACGTGAGATACAGATACGTACGAAATTAATTTACAGGCTATTACATATGCATGAGGTTTACTTTCTGTATATCAATGGCGGTAATTTTGTTGATCTGTGCCATGAATGAAGGGGTATAATCTATCGTGGTTGTACCTTTATAATACATGTATAATTCTTGCCGATTCATGTGTTTTTCTTTAACATATAGACCGACCTACGTATGGATATTTTACCTATTGTAAATATCGAACACGCGAAAATTGTCCATGTTATGTAAAAGAATGTGATGGATATTGCTTGGTTATTTATGTGTTTTCATATATAAACACAAAACATTGGTATGATTTTGACCTACTGTAAATATTCAACAAGTGAAAATTTTCCATGTTATATATGTAACAAAAAGTATGAAGTCTTGCATGTTGTGCATGGTAAATGATGAATATTACTTGGTTTAGATTATGATAGAAATACAACAAGCACATTTCATCAAAAAAAAAAAAATTACTTGGTTATTCATGTGTTTTCTTCAACATAAACCAATATGAGTTTTACGTATTGCTTTCTTATTCATGTGTTTCATATATAAACACAAAACATATGTATGAATTTGCCCTATTGTAAAAATTCAACAATAAAAATTTTTCCATGTTATATATATATATATGTGTGTAAAAGAATAAGATGAATATTACTTGCTTGTTTTTTCTTTGATGAAACGTTTCGTATATTAATCAAAAAATGGGTTGTACATAGTATAGGATCCAAATCCACATTTAAGCTTTCGCTAGTTTTACCTAATCAAGAGATAAGCTTTACAGCAAAGCCTACCAATCTTCAATCAGGAACTTGTGAAATTGTTAAAGAGTACCATTTCTGAAGCAAAATGTTGCTTTGACGGTGTCCGATCTGTTGCAGCGACAGTAGTATAGTTCGCACCGATTGGCCTATCCGAACGTAAAGAATCTGTGGGGTAGATGCTGAACTCTAAAAAACTCTAGAGTTTCGTTCCATCCAAACCTCATATACAGAATGTTGAATGAGGGTCTTCAGTAGTGTATGCCATTCACTATCATCAGATTGCGGGATCTGCTCCAACCACATGTGGCACCTCTATACATCAGTTAGGGGATTCCTCCCCATTGCATAAAATACATGTTGAGTTTTGAACCATGTTCCATCGCTTCAATCTATCTCGAGTTGACAGTCTCCCCTGCATTACCATCCATTGAATAAAAGCATACCTGAGAATCGCTCGTTTGAACTAAACCATATTAGCCCAGACCACTTCAGTAGAAGCCTGTCGCAGTAGCTTCCATGTGCTGGCCGCCGAGAAATTTTGTTTGTACACATTCCCTGTTTCTTTCCACTCAAACCTATCGTCTCCTTTAGCTTGAGTAGGCACCAGAATACTTAGGAGTTTGATGTGGAGCTCCTGGATTCTATGAGACCTCGCATCAGGCAGCAACCAATTACCTTCAGCTGTCGCATCACTGACTTTACCATTGATCAGGATTCTGAGGAGTCGAGGGCCTTCATCCCCGATATATGTAAGCAGAGGACCTAGATCAGACCAATTGTCATACCAATAGATGGTTATATTCCCATTTCCAATCCTGCATCTGATGAAGTTTCTCGCCAAGTCTTTCATCTTAAGAAGCTTACGAATATTCCATGACAGTCTAGGAGTCAGGAGAATATTCCAATATGACCCACTTTTCAACACATTTTTCCTCAGCCATGCCACCCAAAGCGAGCTTGCATCCTTGAAAATACTCCAAGCCATTTTAAGTCTGAAGACTGTGTTCAGCTCTTCCAGTTTATTCCTAGGCCTCCTTCCTTTCCAGGCTTACATATATTACTCCAAGCAACTCTTGCCCTACGTGAGCTCGAAGGGGAGTTTTTTCATAGAAAGGTGGAGCAAGACGCATCTATCTGCTTCAGGAGATACTTCGGCAGTAGGAAAACTTGACTTCAACTATTAATCATACCATATATAACGGTTGCGACAAGCTAGATCTTACCGGCATATGACAAGAATTTACTCGACCAACTACTGACTTTTTTCCTGACCTTCTCCATCAAAGGCTCGAAGTCTGCCTTAGCTATGAGTTTAAACAATTTACTCCAACTACAATATTACTTGCTTGTTGTGTTTTCTGAAACCATATAGGTATGAGTTTAAACGATTGTAAATATCAAACATGTGAAATTCTTCGATGTTATGTAAAAGAATACGATGGTTATTGTTTGCGTTGTTCACGTATTTTACTAAACATAAGCCATAGATATGAGTCTTACTTATTGTAAATATCGAACAAGCGAAAATCTTCCATGTTAATAAGGGATCTATATATATATATACACTTTTAGTAATTGAGCCAATGTATTATTCGATGTTGTGATTCAATGTTCATGTATGGAATTGAACAATCAGCTTAGCAATTGGTAAAATGTTTCTTTGTTACCTGCAGCTAGAGAATAGCAACCTCGTGAGACTGAGCAAAGAAGTTGAAGATAAAACCAAGCAGCTAAGGTACTTTCTTCATATTATATATATATATGTGTGTATGTTCTTGTGTGAGTGTGTATTCGTGTATAATTGTCATATCGGTTTTCAATTTGCAAATGTAACAGGCAACTGAGAGGTGAGGATCTCCAAGGTTTGAGCTTGGATGATTTGCAACGGCTGGAGAAATTGGTTGAATCAGGACTCGGCCGAGTTCTTGAGAAAAAGGTTGGCGTTAGTTTTTCATAACATATAGGATAGCTCTATCAATTTGAAACCCCGACGAAATATCTCTATCGTTCATGATCTTTCCTCGGGATGGATATTGGATCAAATGCCCAGATCGATTAACTTGGGTTTAAAGTAATACTATGTAGAGATTCTTACCCATATATATACAACAACATCGTCCTAGTCCCAAGTTTATTTGGGGACGACCGCATGGATTCTTCGATTTGAATCCATTGCAGGTGAGATATGACATAGTTTTGAATTTGCTGGTTGCCACCTACCGCAAAACCTTCCTCCTTTATCCGGGCTTGGGACCGGCTAAATACGAGCGAACCCATGTCTAGGCGGAGTTTCTTACCCATATATATATGCCATGTAAAAGATACTAAACATTGTGTTTGAGAGATTTCTGATCATATATATATATATGTTGATGAACACCAATGCTTCATGTTTTGTTCAGGGCGAGAGTATTATGGGCGAGATTTCTTCACTTGAGAAAAGGGTTAGTATAAGCATATAATGTTGGTATTTTTAGAGTAAATGAATGGGAATTTAGAATCTCTCAAAAGGATTCATGTTTAACGTGTATTACAAGTATGGTGGAGGAGTTAAATGCTTGTAAAAGACGTGGTATGAATTGGCTAAGTGTTAGGGATACGTCGAAAGAGTTTACGTTCGGTTTTGAACGTGAAAGGTAATCTCAGAAAAAATGGGAGGGCAGCTCGAAAATATGAGCTGGCAGCCTATTTTTTCTGAGGAATAAAGCTCATAAATAAATGGGCGGTAGCTCGGGAAAACCGGGAGGGCAGCCTGTTTTTCTGAGCAATTCAGAAATAAACGGGCGGGTAGCTCGACAAAACGGGCGGGCAGCCCGTTTTTTCTGAGCAGTTCGGATTGAGCGGAAAATCGCGACCGTTCGGGAAAAACTTCCGATTTCTTCACACCTTTCGACATTTGGAGTGTTGATTAACACCCCTGGACATCCTAACACAATTGATAACAGATCTTATTCGTTTTTTGAGAGATTTGAGAGCACTTTTGTGGTTGATCTTGCAAAACACCCACAAAGCCTTTTGTTCATCTTCTTCTTGCAATTTTCTTGTGTTTGTGTTCTTAGTAGAGCAAACTAAGATCACTTCTCTCTTCATTGTATCTCAAAGACGTATTCCGGAAAGTCCTTTGCTCGTATAGGACGGAATAACGTTTTTAGGAAAGTGTATCACGCATTGAAGAGTTATCCGGTTCCTATTTACTTTTCTGTTATTGTTCTTCTTTTTATATCCCAGATTCCTAACATATAATATAAAGTAATGTGTATTCAATATACACACACAAACACGCTCACAATACTTTTATGTATATATGTATGTATATGTTGATGATGAGTAACATGCAACGTGCAGGGAGCAGCGTTGGCGGAGGAGAACAGCAAGCTGAAAGAGAGGGTAAATTAGAACAACCTTTTCTCTTACCAGCACACGATCTGTCATACATTACATATAAGTTTTTTGTTGGGTAAATTACATTACATATAAGTTTATGAGCAAAACCAAATGTTATATATGTGCATACGCATATACATATTGTGCATGTGTGTACATATATGCCAGCTGATGACGTTGGAGAGAGGCAAAACGACCGCGTTTGGGGAAGGTGAAATTGTAGCAACGCGAGATGGGATATCGTTGGAATCAGCTCTGACGACCAATCTCTCTAGCTCTGCCAGTGGATCTCTCCCTGACGATTTCTCCGACACTTCGCTTAAACTCGCGTAAGACCCTCTGTTCTTGCACATATATATATATATATGTCTGTGTGTACGTGTGTTTTTTTTTTTTGTTGAACTAGGTAGATAAGGTGTAAAGATTTTTTTGGGTAACCGGGTGTTCTAGACAAAGATTCATATTAATTTCGAGGTTAGACTAGAGTCAGCCATGTCATTTAGAATATAAACTCTTCTCAAACTTGAGATTCGAACCCGGATTAGGATAGACGATTTGCGTCCCGTTTCATCGGTTAGAATACTCGAATTTGGGTTACAAATTATTATTGAGAATTAGGGATAGTGAGCAGAAATTTAAATTCTCTGCATATTTGGTTGAGTTCAATCCGGGTTTTGGTGCGAAGTAGACGAAACTCGAACCCTAATAAAATACGAACCAAATCAACTTCTTGTTTTTTTTTTTTGTAATAGTTGATTAAATTTAATATAGAAGGTCGATTATTGTCATAATGTTGCTAATCAGAGTAATGTTGAAGTCGTCTTCATGGTGTGAGGTAGATTTATTTAGCCTTTTGTGTTATGGGAGAATAATATTATTAAATGCTGAATTATGGATGAGAATTTACACTATACAATATTTAGATTTATGTAACTATTTCATGTATAACAGATATTATTTAATTTGGTCCGACTAGTACCATATGTTTGTTTCTCCTGGATTTTACCAATTTTTTTTTTAAATTTCTTCGGCTTATTTCTTGTAGGCTTCCCTTTTCCTCGTGATTCTAGAGACAGAAAGAGACATTGGAGAATTAAAATAACTTTTTTTTTTCGATTTCCCTTTTTTCCTGGAAATTATATGGATTATGAAATGTTATATATATTGCAACTAATGATCGAATAACGTGATCATAAAATATCAGTTATTTACATTTATTCAGTGCAATAGAGTATCGGAATGGTGACTATGAGGTGAATGATACGAATAGATTATGTAAAATATATAATTATATTTGAATAAATTTAGAATTGAGTAAAATGGTTCTATAATGTAAAAATATATAAAATTGAAAATATTAGTAGGCCGAATTTAAATTTGATCAGTCGAAAATGTAAAAAAAATGAAATTAAATGCATGCTAAAAAGGCTGTTCGTGTCAAATAGAAATGCTTAAATTAAGTTTCTTCTGCAGTGGTAGGTAGACAATAAATTAAAGAAAAAATTTAAATAAATAAAGTAATTTATTCAAATTTCGTAGACAAATAAATAAATTTTTTATTTTCTAAAAATTACACTAATTTATAATTTTTCTAAAAAAATTACATGAATTTTAATTACGTTAACTAAATAATGCTTCTCACTGAAGTAAAACGAGATGGCTTGGACCGGATCGGACCTGTTCGTCTCGAGTTAACTCATTTTGACTCAGCTCGTTCGGCCCGTTTTTATATGAGTTAGAAAAGTTCTGACGAGATCAAATTGTAATTCATATTTATCTAATTATCCAAAAAATGGTTTAAAATTACCTAAAAATTAATAATTTGAAATCTACGTATAAGAATTTAAAGCCACTTAACATAGTATAAAATATTTAACATAACAATCTATAAAACCATATCTAAATAGAAAAAATAACAAAAAATCTTATCTCGCGTCACCAAACTAACATAAAAAGTATCATATATCAACTAACATCAAATATAACAAAAGATATAAACCAACGCTAACATATAATGAATTCTAATTTTCTACGTCATCAATTTTAGTTTGATCTCCACTTTCATTTTGATTTGTATTTTCAATTTCTACAACAAAAAGGTATTTTTTGTGCTAGCCCGGGAGCTGACCAGCTGGTCTGGTTGGGTTCGCGCTCGCAGCGAGCTGACCCGTTCAGCCCATTTTTATTTGGTCTTTTATTTTTTTAGCTCAACTCGGAAAAAAACGAGTCAACCGCGAGGTGGCTCACGAACCTGACTCATTTTGACATCATTATGATGAACGGTATTAACGTGATTCGTTGTACATCAACATGTGATATTTTTTTGCCGTATCAAATAAATACCAATAAAATAAAAATAATAAAAATAAAAAATAAATACTAAAAATTAAAAACATTTAAAAATATACACAAATATATATGTATATATATACAAGCATACATCTCAATATATATACACCCACATACATATAAATATATACACACACAAATAGACATATACATATATACATACTTTTATAAAAATTAAAAAATTAAAAAATTAAAAATTAAAAAAATCATTAAAATAGAAAAATAAAAATATATACATATATATATATATATATATATATAATAATCCACAATAAAAATGGTTGAATCAATATCATAATACTGTAATATGATTACAGAAGTGGGTGGAGAATCAAATGTGTTATACTAAATTAGTGGTTTACACATATGTTAGTACCAAATCACTTTCAGATTTATAAATACGCCACTTCAACGTTCCACGTCAAAAAGATAAAAAAAAATTTATACATTTATACGCATACTTATCAATTTTGATCCAAACATTGAAGTACGATCCGAACCCATCTAAAAAATATATCGGATTTTGGACCTAAATTTTTTTACCCAAAAAATTTTAAACTTTCAGATCAGATTTGAATGGCCCGAAAACTAGATATAATTTTTTTTTTATATGAAACTAATGCAAAAAATGTAAACAAGGAAGGAATTGACTTGGTTTTAACTTGAGTAGGGGTTCTATGGGACTGAGTTTTGACCTTGGTTATATAGACCTAAAAAAGTTTACCCGAGCTCAAACTTAGGGGTGTCAATTTGGGTCTGAGACCCGAAGTTCGGCCCGATTCACCTCGAAAATTAGCGGACTTCAGACCTACGTTTTTCGACCCGAAAAAAATCGGACTTTCGAGACAGGTTCGAATCGGGTTTCGGACTCGAGTCGGGTCGACCCGAAAGCCCGATATTTAAAAAAATAAGAAAAAAATAGATTTACATATTTTTTATGCTGGTCGACCCGGTCCGACCCGAACCCGATATATATAGGATCGAGTTTCATGTTTAACTATTTAGATCAGAAAAAATCGGGTCGGTCCAAACCCAAAACCTTCGGATCGAGTGCGGATTCGGACCCACCTGATTGACACCTCTACTCAAACCTTGGAGAGTGCGGATTTGAATTAGATCGGTTGGTTAGATACCCCTAATAAATATATATATATATAATATACATAAGCATATGGTAGTGGGGTCACATGTCCCATTTTATAAAAAAAATATTTAATTTTTCAAGAAATTTTATAAAAATTTAATTAAAATTATTAAATATCTCCATTATAAAATTAAATTTACTCTCATATTGCCCCATTTATAATATTTCCTAGAGTCCGCCATTATATATATATATATATATATATATATTTATGTGAATAAATGTAACAGGCAACTGAGAGGGGAGGATCT